CATAAATCTGGCAGTAATAATCGGAAATTGTTCAAAATCAATAGGCTTCTTCGTCTCATGACCCTAAACACTGTGTATAAATTTAATGTCAATCCGATATTTTTTAAATTTAACCCCTAAAGCCTCAACTGTTCGACGGACGTACGGGGGCGACGGCAATATACGACCGCATTGTTTCCATCATTTTGGGGTAATCAGCCCAGTGGTGTGGGGTATGTCGCTCAGGTATAGGGGCTATGCCCCGGGCAGTAGTGGGCTATTTATTTGCCCCACTTCCACCACTCGTGCAAGTTTTAAAATGACCGATATCATGTGGACGTTAGACGAACAAGGCTTGCACCAAATGAAATATTAAATACTGGTGTGATTATTGATATAAATTTGATCTCTATATCTGTCAAAGCTACCATTTTGTCTACAACTTCAATATTTTGGAGGACACGTGCCGACATTAAAACCCTACTGTGTCATAACACGTGACTCTCTACTGCCCTTAACCCCACATAGGCACTTTGTACGTTACCCTACAACATTTTTACACGATATTACGACATGGGTTGTCTCCATCTTCGTCTCAATATACAGTTTGGTTATGTACACTGATCAAGGTGTTGGTCAAGTTAGTTCCCCGGAATTTTGCAGTGCGATTTCTCCCTTTCGGTATTGCAGGACGAAGGGTCTGGCAAAGAACAGTGTCTAGTTGTGTAGTGGAGACCGGTGTGGCAGTTTCAGATGGTTCCTGGTGTGTGATTACCGTTTGGCGCATGCGCAGTTGTAGGAGTCAACTCACACCGTTACAGTCGCGGTGTGCATTGACTCCTCGTGATAGGATTTGCCCTAAGATTTTCTTACGGTCAAATCAGACTATTATGTACCGATATTTACAGTATTACCACCACGAGAGGATGCAAATTGACGATCTTTATTATTATTATTTAGTATATATACCCGTCCACAATGCGAACATTCTCTCTTGTATTTGGGCTGTCTACATGCATGTTTGAATGTATGGGATGGTATAATAAATCTATATTTATGTTAAAGAAATCGGAATAAGAAATTCCATACTTGTGATAAATGAAGCCACGAAATATCAAAGGCCTTAATCTTCCCTTGGAGGTGAATTAATTGATAATTTCAAGCCAATCATCAATTTGTATGGTTTCCACTGATCGTACGTGTGTAGAACGACTAATCACTGAAAAAAAAAACAACGGCAACAAATCACGAACGATAGAAGTATCAATTTCAAGCCAATCAACTTAGATCCGTTGATCGTGTAACTACTCATCACTAAAACAACAGCTAATCACGATAACAAGTATGTTTATTAATGACAAAACTCTAATCAAGTACATGATATACTTTTTCCTGGACTGTCTGACCAGGAACCAACTGGCACCGCAGGAAGTAGATATAGTTTCGTTGTTAAGGCAAACATCAGTTTCGGACATGCGCAAGTGCCCAGGAGAAAACACACACCAGGAGTCAACTCAAACTATCACACCGGGGCACATTGAACATATATATGGGTACATTGAACCACCATGAATATACTATCCTTTATAAATAATACTAGACAACCCAAGACTACACAGAAGTGATAATTACTTCTTAGACTTATTTCTTCGTCAGTAAGCAGTAGCGATATCCTGTCAATTATTTTTTTAGGTAATGATTAGGTAAAAGTGAAAATGCACTACTTCCACTTATCGTTTTCCATACATGTTAAAGGGACTATCCCGATTAGAACAGAGTCTCAAAAATTAAAGTCCGAGTACGTATGAAATTTAACCACCAAAATATATAGGAATGGTGTATTGACCTTGTCTCAAAATTTCAGCTCAAAATATTGAGTCGTTTGGACGTGAACTTCAAAACTGCTTATCCGGACACGTAACCCTTTTATGATTTCGGGTCAATTTTTTCGTTGGGTGACCTGATAATCGATTCCCGTTTCTTGAGAGGTCTATACAGTGAATGACCCATGTGTTGTACTTGATAGTGGACGGTAAATTTCACCTATACACATTATTTTGATTAAAAAAAGGTCTGGTTTTATCCAGACACCGTATAATACAGATTGGGACACCGGTCTCCATTTCCGGATGAAGACTGACAGGTTTAAGTTGTTTGCAAACGTATCACAAATATTAAGTTACCTGCTCGGCCCGTAGGTAAAGGGTTTTAAGGCATTTTAACACAAAATTAAGCAGTTTTATTCTCCCAAAAATTATCAGGATTGGCCCTTTAACTGTTTAGTCTAGGAAATTCTTGTACTTAAAATCAGTTCATATATGTCTAATCTACAATCCAGATAAACGGGGCTTGATCCATAGAGGGCATATTGAATTTTTTTTAAATTTTGATCATGAAACTGTGATGAGGTAGATTGATCGAACCACTGTCAATGGGGTACGTTGAACACGGGCTTGATCCATTTTGAATTTTTTTTTAAATTTTGATCGTAAAACTGTGATGTGGCAGATTGAATTGAACCACTGTCAATGGGGTACGTTGGACTACTGGTTCAATGTACCCCAGTGCATTATAGGCTATATACCATAGGTAATTTGTAATATCTTTGAAAATAAAAACAATAGATTTAGAATATCAGTTGATCCAACTCTGTAGGCCTGTCGTATAAAAGGAATTAAAACTTCATGGGAGCAGTGTTCGAAACTTAGCTGTGACATACAGGGGCGCAATGGGTCTCCCTGACGAGAATCGCTCGTCAGCAAATCAGGCTGTCCGAATTTAGACAGAATATTGGACAAATTTTAGTTTGATTCACTGCAAAAGCTGATTGGGGTCGTACTATCCCACCAAACTGCCAACTTTTATTAAGTGCAATTTACGGCGATTTGTAGGAGCCTAGGGAATCCGGACTCCTGTTTGTTTTGATCGTTGCAAGGATGTCAAATCTGTGGATGTTTGTTCTTAACTAAACACTGATTGTTTGCAGATTCATTAGATCACTACGAAACAAGTGATTAGGTTTGTGATCCAAATCCAGATCTATGTTTAACATGGAATTTTTACCACTGTTCAATGTGCCCCATTTTGTGGTTAAAACTGCCCCGACTATTTTCTACAGCGGGTGCTTAAAATGTGTTGGTTTTTTTTAAAAGTTAAAATTTAATTTAATTGAATCTGATACACAATAGCAACTATGACATATCTTTAAATAATACAATAAAGTAAATAGATCTTCTAATAAAAACACTTGATACGGAAGGAGGACAACCATGTAGTATGTACATGTATGTGAAAAAAATGGTTCAATGTGCCCCGGTCTCCACTAGATGGGACGAAAACACAAGGCCCTGTGTATATATATATATTTATACACATTGGCGTGCACATAAATGAACACCTCACAGTTGGAATTCGATGGAAAAATGCCACTGTCCCTTGAATAATTACGTCATAGCACTGCATATCGTAGTCCGATTGAAGCAGAAAGTTAGGAAAATTAAATGAAATGGGGTTTAACGTCCGACTAGTCTGCCCCGAGTGGACTAATGAAGACGGACATGCGCAATACATTGTAGATAGGCCCAGAGCCTTATATATAGAATAAGGCTCTGGGTAGGCCTACTATGAGGAAAACTTTGCCCGAATAGCGGCGCTATACCGGCCTACTCTTACACTGAATTCAATCAATTCTTGGAAAAAAGGTTTATTATATACATGTCAGTGTGATGCGTTGCGTATACCATTGTCATAGTTGGTGCATTACATTGCATTGTCGGGGTCGGTGTATTACATTTCATTGTCAGTCGTGGTTGGTCACTGGTGCTTTTACATTCATTGTCAGTCGTGGTTGGTGCTTTTACATTCATTGTCAGTGTGGGTGCGTTATACAGTCATAGATTAGTATATGTCAGACTTCGTTACGGGTGTGGATTTACATGTGATCATCAATCGTAAAAATGGCAATAATATAATACATATATATGCGGACTAGAGAGCATTCCCCTTCTGACTTAGGGCCTAGGCCTATATTAGACTGAAGGCATGGACCTTTTTTGTCTTTATTTAACTGAACAAAAGATAAATATGTTGGCCTAATTTAATTTCTACAATCCTGTTATCTATTTTTTCATGATCAAAATGTAGGCCTAAATATGTGATTTCAAATTTCAATGGATTATTTGCTTTTGATATTATCTCTAGTGCTAGAGATCAACTCAATGCCCCAAATTGTACTAGTGAAGGCCTACTTTTCCCACGAAATAGGCCCTACCAAGCTCTTCACTTTAAAATGTTTAAAATCATAACCGGTTATTGGCTAACATTCTTCTGTTTCTTTCAGTTACCCCAAATAATTTCGTATATTTAATGATACAGCGTTTTATTCTTGTTTAGTTATTCTAGAGAAATCCATTAGCTTAGCAATTTGAAATTTATCGCTTAGTCATCCCTTACGTAATATAACGCCCAATTTACAATAGGCCCTACAACTGCAAGATTGCAACATGGTCGAACCGTCTGGATAAGCAATGCTTAATTTGTAGCAGTATAAAACTGGTTGACAAAGACTTTAAACACCAACACGTCCAAATTTCAACTCGATTCAATCTTTGCTAAACGAAAAAAAGTATTCGTATAAAGTGGTGGTAAATGTTTTAAACATAATTTGGGTGACTACATTTGGAATAAAAGGTAGCAAAAAGAAAATTTTAGTGAAAAATAACAGAGAAGAGGTAAGACTTTGATCCACGTCCAGACTTTAATCTATTCAGTGTTCTATTTACATTGTTTTTTTATTTAAGGGGGAATGAAGTCGAATAATTGTAGTTAATTTGGATTTTGCTATGTGAGTATCCAAGCACGAGGCCTATAGCTATTTATTTACAGCCACGATAGAAGTGAAACAGTTTATAATTTACAATTATTTTAGATTCTGCTAGCTGACTAAATTGGTATTTGTGTCGATCTGACACTGTGGTGACTGAGAAATTTTATTTTAATTTTTAGACGTACGAACTAACGAAGTGCCGTCAAGTTGAGTGGATTTCATAACAGAAGCAATTTAGTCAGGTCACTCCATTTTGTAGCTAAAGAGGTAGCCACAAGAGATAGGTCGATAAAGTACATGCACACCTCGCTATAATATACCAAGAAGTACCTTGGCAAGTGAAGTAAGTTTAAAGTATCGTATGTATATGAGTGTAAGCTTGAATAAACTAGGAGTAGGACTAGGAAGGAGCTAAATGAGTAAGACACCGGATCGCTAGCTTGGTTTGATACTGGTGTTGGCAGAGAAAGTTCATTGTGATTGTCAGGTTTGGTTTCCCCTGGTCAGTGCGTCAAAGGTCGTCTAGTCGTTGGGATGGGACAGAAAACCGAGGTCCCACATACACATTGGCGGGCACATAAAAGATCCCTTGGCAGATGGAATTCAATATAAGAGTAGGCTGTAGCAGTGCTGTCCGTGCAAAAAGTCTGGCTTCATTAGTCCAGTCGGAGCAGAACAGTAGGACGTTATACCCCATTACATGTCATTTCATTTGAATGAACTATACATGGACCATATAACTTATAAGAAACCATTACTCACGGTGTTGGTTGAGGAAGTTGATTGGTATTGTCTGGTGTGGTTTCCCCTTGTCAGTGCAGAGAGAGGGCCTGACAGGACAGCTGTCTAGTCGTTCGGATGGGACAGAAAACCATGGTCCCATGTATACATTGGCGGGCATGTAAAAGCTCCCTTGGTTTTGCAGATGGAATTCCATATAAGAGTAGGCCGTAGCGCCGCTGTTCGTGCAAAATTTTCTTCACAGCATACTGTATGGCATAAGCCAGGCTTCATTAGCCCAGTCTGAGCAGAACAGTAGGATGTTATACCCCATTTCATGTCATTTCATTTGAATGAACTATACATGGACCATATGATAAGAAACCATTACTCACAAGAAAACATGTGATAATATTTTAGAAGAGCAAGAAATCTAGACTCTTGCTTTTTTGTATAAAGACTGACCATGGTCCTTGGCAATTAATATGCAAAACCCATGGTAAAAGTGCTAGGATGATTTACCCAAATTCACCCAAATCCACCATTATTTCAACTCATGATAATTTCGGTAAATCGTGCTACCCTGGTAAAAGCCCCAAAGACCAAAATAACTAACTGGAATATTAAACTTCAATTAGGCAGTTCGTAAGCAATATAGCTGAATTTTACAGGTTGTAAACCAAATGGGAATTCAGGTGTAGTAGCCCCTATTAAATATTTCTGGGTTTTTGGACTGTCCTAGGCATGTTTTAAAGGGAGTTCAGTCTAATAGACACCCGGAGCTTCTCCTTTTGAAGAATTTCACCTTGGGTGCTTCCCTGCAAAGACATTGTGTCCTACCCAAAAAAGCACTTAAACCCTAGTTTTGTGGCTTCCTCTGGCAAGTTTCTTATGAAACATTTGTCTGCGATATCAGTATATCACCCTTTGTGAAAGTGGACGTAAAACTCCAGGAATGAACAAACAAACAAATAGACTGTACGTGTTCTTAGTTCTAAGGAAAAACTGAAATATGAACCAAGTTCCTTTGACTAGTATATCAGTATCAAGGTCTTAACAACAGGAATAATGAACTGACATTCTAAGAGACAATCGGAATAACAGGTTGACAGATTTCTTGGCCATTATCTGTCTATGAAACACAAGGTACAATGTACGGTGATGTCTGATTGACAGAATATCGTAAGGAGGAGCATTGAACAAATTAATGAACAAACCAATAACGGATAGGCTGAGTAAAACAGTGCCCAACAAAATTTTTTATTAATAATAATGGTAATGAGGAACCTCAGTGCGTAGAACAGCCATAATGTCTTGATATTCAAGTAAATAAACAACAGCTTCAGAATATTGACATATAGAACAAAACTAAGAGGCCTCATATTTGGTGTGGTGTCATAAATGTTTACAGTAGTCAATTAACATTTCCTGAATATTCAAGTATCCACGACCACAAGAAGTACTAGGTTTATGAAAGTTCAGTAGCACGCCTATGCATCTGTCACATGAATTAGTTTTTATGCATCAGTGATGATTTTATGTACAGTAGATTTGATGTCATTCATTCATGATTAAAAATATACTAAGCAGCAAAAAAACCCTGTCAGGTTGGTATTTTACTCTGAATAGACGCATTGCATAAAACTTGCCAAATGTTTCTATTGTATATTTGTGACGACATTTCCAACTTTACCTGAACAATAAGGCCCCTTCCCAAACACAGAATTGAACCCAGGAAATGTTCTCAAAAACGCAACCTGACTTCTGAGATGGTAATGTGTTCTCCATGATTTTCATGAAACTCATGCTGCACTTGCTGTTCAACGGGACCAGACCTATAAAATGCATTCCCATACCTGGTTGAATCATTCACACTACAACGTCAGCAGTATGCCGTGACTCACGACAGCTCAGAGGAACCAAGTGCTTAAAAGACTCGACACTGGCCACACTGCCCAAGCCGTTGCCAATCATTCCAGGTCAATGTTCGGACCATCTACAGGCTTCAGCAAAGCTTTCGGGCCACAAACACCACAAATGATCTCCCCGGAACTGGTAGACCAAGGGTTACCAAAAGGCGACAAGACTGCCATGTTGGGCGACAGCACATGCAGATTTCTTCACACAGGCATCTGAGACAGCACGTCAGGCAGTGGGAACACACGGAAGACCAATCAGTGCCGATACGGTGCGCCGAAATTTCACCAGAGAGAACATTGATTGCCGTAGACCTTATCATGGACCAATCCTCACCCCTCGCCATCGACATGAACATCTACAGTTTGCCCAACAACACCAGAACTGGCAACACAGGCAATGGAGAACTGTTCAGTTCACAGTTGAGAGTTGGTATTGCGTACCAACTGCAGATGGCAGGATCAGAATATGGCTTCAATGTGGCCAGCGTTATTCTGACCAATGTGTCATGGAACGAGACTCATCGGGAGGTTCAAACATAATGGTTTGGAGGGGAATCGACCTGAACCAGAGAGTGGGTCCTGTGGTGTTCCAAAATCTTGGTCCAGGGAGAGGAGACGGCATCACAGCGGTGTGCTACATCGATCAAGCTCTCAGACCCCACGTCATACCACATTTTGCACGTCATCGAAACAACGTTTTCCGGACTTAAACCCGATTGAACATCTTTGGGCTGAAATTCGGAGGAGACTTAATAACGTCTTACTTAAGTGCGCCGGGGCCCCCATGAATTTTAATTCGGCAGGCCCCCATGAATTTTAATTTGGCACTGCACATCTATATAAAGTAGAGGCCAGTTTAAACTCAGAAACGACCGCAAAGGCATTTTCGAATGATGATGTCGCTTTTAGGGCAACCACCTTTGATCGAAAAATTCAAAGAAAGTAGACCAATACGATTTGGTCTTAAAATTCAAACACATGTATACTAGGATGGTACTGTAAATAAAAGGGTGAGGGTTGATGGGAGGGAGGGTATCTGAATGGTTTAAACATGCGTTGTAGATCATAAGGTCTTTCATTGCATCATTTGGCATTGTTTTGGACCCAGCTTGTACATGACAAGGAATAGGGTCGCCTGTCTAACCTTTTGGTTTTTCTCTGGGTCCTCCAGTTTCCTCCCATTGCTAAAAGACCCTATGCACAGGTGATTTATTGAAGTAAAGTTGAGCCATATGTTAGTCCCAAAATGACCTAGTATGTGTGGAGTATGTTAAACTCTCACTCTCTTTCTCTCTGGTTATCAATAAATACTTGTTTCTTATCACTAAACTAGTTTTTTTATAAAAAGGTAGGCTGGAGTAGAATTCATGATTTACATGTAGGTTATATTATAAGCTTATTTCCATAAAAATTGAAGGTGAATAAATTTGATGGATTGTTAAAATGAAATATCTTGAAATTACACTTTGAATTATGTAATGATAGAGATGGCTATGTTAGTAATATTTAGATATCTAGATACTTTTGCTCCAAGACAATTTGCTGAAATTTCATTCAAATTGATCCACTATGAACCGAGAACTAAGCGATTGAAATTTCTGCCTAGCCTTGATCATCATTCCTAAAGTCTGTACAATAAACAGCATAGTCTCGATTATCCATTTTATCTTTAAATCATGAAGGAAAGTTATGCAGTAAATTGGCTCATAATCCACTAAAGATTGCAGGCTAGCGATGCCATCTAAAGTTGATTATGGTTTGGATAGGTTAATTAATGTCTAATTAATAATTTAGATAACATTCAGGCCTAAAGAAGGACCTACAATAGACAGATCTAGCTCTTGCATAATGTATGTTTAAGTTTCATATGTACAATACTTGGCAGTTGTATTAATGACACTCTATTTTAGGAAACTCTAAATTAATTGACTGTTTTAATGTGCTAATTCTTATACCCGGTTCATATTATTTCAGAGATTTTGTCATCCGTTGAACAGATAAAACAGAAGTACAATGGGTCTACTCACTGAAGGAACTGCTTTATCCTGGGAGGAGACCAAAAAACAAGCTGACCATGTTCGAAAGCATGGTATTCAGCAATTTCTTTATCAGTATCATAAATTAAAAGATTTATGTAATGAATGTCTGTATTGGGGAGATGAGGTAATTAACATATTCTATCTAGCATGTATAGACTAAGCTCTGTATGTTGGGTTGACCTATTGCTTTAACTGGTGTGATTCAACAAACTGTACTAACACAAACTGTTTTTTGTCGCCACTAATCAGAGATAGTGTTATACCATGCCATCCAAGTAATACCATATGCATCTTAAGTCCACCTGTGTTTTCGCATGTTTTCCAATAGAAAATAGACACATATCTAAGGAAAATAAGATTAATCTGTTAAGTTATCACTAGGTGTATGTAGTTTAAGAGTGATTTTTTTAGGTAAATAACATGCAGTGTCGGATTTACATAGATAAAAGAACTAAGCTATTCCTTTTGTGAGACCCCTACCAATCCCACCGCTCATGACTAGAGGAATATGGGTAACAATGAGGATGGTGACAGGTGTTTTAAAGTTTTTGTTTTTCATTAGCATTTGTTGAATCACAGGTAAACAAAATATTGGGCTCTACTCATATCAGTGGGTGATAATCTCCTGGCTTGCATTCAACCAGATTACAAACAGGCCTCTCAAACGATTGTATCCAACACTTATTGGTGGCACTGGCTTGTTTATAATGTCTCCAAAGAATGACAAAAGATTCAAAATTTTGCAAATAATTATCAGCAGATTTGGTAGTCATATTTGGAACATAAATAGTAAATGTGTACAATTTACAGAGACCAGCTAAAGAAATTATGAACAAGCTCCCATGTCCTATTTTACACACTTTTATATGCCCCCCCCCCCATTTAATGAAACAAAATTAAACTTTGTTACAGACTATTGTAGGCATTTTTCTTTTATTTGTGCCTTTATCTTATAGTTATATTTGAATTTAATGGTTGGAGATAGATAGGTAGGCGTATTTAGTTAAATTTAGTATACTTGAAGTATTTGTATATATTTTGTATTTTCAGGTGGAATATATGTTAGTGAAACTAGATAGAGCTAATAAACAATGTCGTTTGGTGTTAAAAGCTCAACAGGTGTTGAAAAAACTACAAAAACGGGAACAAGAATTTCCCAAGTAAGCATCATTTGTCATTTGAAAGGGCATTCCTACATTTCACATGACAGTGAAAATAAAAATGGGTGTAGGTATGTAAATCAAACGTCAAAATGTTGCAAATTCAAATCAAAATAATAAGTGCTGAATTTATTTAACTGGGTTACTGAACTCATTTAAGGAATTTCATTTTTTAATTGTGCGAGTGACTTGATAAATGAGATTATCACTTACCACCAAAACCACAGCAATATGATTATCCAAGCACAAAGGACTTTTAGCTAACCAACTCCACAATGGAAACTGTAGGTTTGTAATTTCTCGAATAAAGTATCACACAGGTTCAGATAGTTGGACACTGTTAGGATAAAGATTTATAAGATTCATGCCCCCTGAATTAACCAGTTTTATACACTAAATATATCTGGAAATTCTCCTTTAATTGGTACTTTTATGGTAAAAATAAAGACACAAAGGAAAATGTATTGCACAAAAACTGTTACAGAAATTGTTGATTTGAATTAAATTGAATATACATGTACTGATAGTATTTAATTCATAAGTTATGTGAATGGTAGTTAGTTAGTTAGATCTCAGATGGAGAAAAACCCCAGACAAAATGAAAGATAATAAAGACGTAATTTTAAAAACTCTAGATTGAAATTTCATTTATTTTCAGTGATCATCCATCAACATGGAGACCAGAGTATGCTGAGTATATGGTGGAAGGTACACCAGGTAAACCGTATGGTGGTCTAATGGCCCATTTTAATCTGGTGGAAGCAAATATGAAATTAAGGTATGTATTGTGAGACAATTTCAACTGTAGGAGGTAAAGTGGGGGTACAGAAATGTTTGTTGATCCGTGCTTGTAGGCCCCAACTTAGATATTGGAGGAGACAGAGTACTAAAAGTATCTGTATTTTAAGTTGGTACTATATAACAGAGAGGTTTAAAACCAGTTACATGTGGTTAGGATACTGCGCATATGATAACAATGAAAAATATGAAACAATGTCAGTTATAAGTTCTTTAGCTTTATGTTAATAGAACAGGTACTTGAAAACTTGGAATTAGGCTTTTCAAAACCATAATATTATGGTTGTAACTGTTTGGCACAGACATTTTTGACCACCAATTGCAGTTCAAAGCAGCGTCATCATACATATTTGTGGACCACAATTATTAAGATGGCCATTGAAAATCTGAAAGATACTTATGACTTCATCAAATGTTTTTTACCAGTGAATTTTGTGGTGTAAGGGGAGACAATATAGGTAACCAGAAGAGTTACCTCCCTTACAACACTGTTGCTCTAATGCAGTGATTCTCAACCAGTGTGGCACAGCAAATCAAAGTGTGCTGCAAAATTTTGAACAGCATCCTAAGAAAAATGCAAAAAACCATGTGATCTCAATTGCGTATTCACTGGTGTCTTCTGGTAAGTTCATAGCTTGAGTCATTCTGTGTGTCTATTCTGTGTCCAGGGTTGTATGCCGTCTATAACTTGGAGAGTTTTTATTTTGCAAAATTCAAATATTTTTCATATGTATTTAGCCAGGTGTGCAGCTATTTTTTATGTGTTCCAAGTTGTGCCGTTGACAAAAAAAGGTTGAGAACCACTGCTCTAGGGGGGTTTATAATCAATTCCATGTACAGAGTTATGGCTAGAAAATTGAAATGGGCTCTGTCTGTCATAAACTGTTTGAGATATCTTTATAGAGCTTTATGCACATATCAGCCTATTATAGTAGATTCAGCCTCTGATGTTTTACTTTTTACTTTTATTCAACCATATAAAATACTCATATGAGCACCAGTTGTAAGTTTCTTATTCTAACACAAAAATATTTTCATTTCAGTTTTCTTTTAAATTAAGATTTATTTGTATTTTTATCAGGAAATGAAAAAACATTGTTATTATTGTAGACGAGAAGAAATCCAGAACTGTCTAGGTGCCAATGAGGTTCCATTATCGTTAACTGTTTTTCCTAGGTAACACTATTTATTATATTATTTGACATTTAATTTATACAGAAAGAAATACATGGTTAAAATATTTTACTATACAATTTGGCACATGGAAGTAGATACGATAATAAGTATACAGTGGACTCTGTCACATCCAACATCTGAATACTACGACATTCTGTGAAATCCGACATCATTTTCATGTCCCGATTTATTTCCTTATTACCTCAGCCAAAAAAGCTTTGAGTAATCTGTATTCTGAATATTCCGAATTACGACATCAATCATCCGTCCCGTCACACGATTTCCATTGAATCAACATTGTATAATCCGGCCTTCAATCGTTGGGTGTGAAGCCACAAAAGATTAACAAGCAATCGCCAATCAATTATCGGTGAGATTAAAACTCGCTCGTGTAGGTCTTTGTTGATTACTTTGATAATTTTATAATCTCTTGTAAGACAGTTGTGACAAATACTCAAGAATACCCACAAATTTTCCCATGAAATAACAGTCGTAAAAATATTCCTAGCAACTGTTGGAAACATTCGTTGTGCATGCCGATTGAACCTGAATAAATAAGGTTGTTCACCATATGGATCTCTCCGAACCGTGTGACGACGACCTGGACATAGCACAACAGATTATCAATGAACATGTGACAGCAAAGACAAGTGTGCAATCAACTGAAGACGATGAAGAAGATAAATGAATGACAGACTTGACCTATTCAAAATGCCTACACATGTTAAATGAAAAAAAACTTAATTTAATAAAATTTTGAATGTACAGAAAGCTTTATCATTTTTAAAGGGAATAACATTCTGGGGATTCGAAGCTACATTATAATAATACTTCTGGTTTTCAAAGTTACAATAATACTTCCGGTTTTGAGAAAACTGAGTATTCTGACATGATGTAACGATCGCGTATGATGTCGGATTTGACAGAGCCCACTGTAGTTCTATTGTGATCAATTTGTTTAGTGCAATGTTGAAAAATGACCGAATTCAGTTTTTAATTTCCCAAATAACACTTGGGTTCAACGCGAATGTAAGAGGGACCTAAAAAATGCATATATCTTAGACATATCTATGACATTGTTTATCTAGAACAGTTTCATTTCATTGTTGTTCAAACTTTTTATATAAACGTAGGTACATACATGAAGTGAGGCAACAAACCAGATTATAGCATAAATTCTGAAATATTAGTACAATTGAAATCAGAGCTAACACCTTCACATTAGTCAAATTTAGTTACCTGGACAAACATTGGCTGGTCATAAACTAAGCATTGCCCAAAAGTTATTTTTACAAGGTGAAGTAAGATGTTTAGTAATCACCTAATTATGGAAAGATATGGTTTTGCACTAAAATCTTGAAATTTCGAGAATTTGCAGCAGTTTGTAATATAAACTTTGGTTTACTGTGTTTCCTCTATTTAACTCAATACAACTATTTATAGTAAATTTGCAACACTGTGTTTCCTCTGTTTAACCCAATACGACTATTTATAGTAAATTTGGAGCACTGTGTTTCCTCAGTTTAACCCAATACTAATATTTATAGTAAATTTGCAACACTGTGTTTCCTCTGTTTAACCCATAACTAATATTTATAGTAAATTTACAACACTGTGTTTCCTCTGTTTAACCCAATAAGATTATTTATAGTAAACTTATGATAAAAATAAAGTGTAATACATATGTACAGGTATATATATATTTCTGTTATTGATAGAATTGGAGCTGGAATCTTCACAGAACCTGCCCTAAAACCAACCCCACAAAAGGGTTATTCTCAATCTCTATTCTTTCCTGATGGAGCAATAAACCAGGGACATCCTAGATTTCAGTAAGTTTTATTGTAAATTTTTGATCGTCTCATAGTTTAGGGCCTTGTGCGGTATATCACAAGATTGTTTTCTATTCTATACAGTTCTGAGTTTAATTAGGATTGACTGTCTAAACTTGTCTTGGGAGGTCACGACAATAAGTGACTCATTTTAGATGTCAGTCAGTGTGAAAAATTCTGCCAAAGATTGGATTTGTTCCCCCTTGGTACAGTCTAGGAAAAATGTTACTAAAAATGAAATGAAATAGAGTTTAACATCCTATTGTTCTGCTACGACTGGGCTAATGCAGATGGTTACTAAAGATAATCAGAGTAGTACAGTATCATAACTAGTATTTCCACAGGGTAGTGAGTATCTGACAATACTCAAGCCCTTTAAACAAAATTCTAACCTCTTCATATATATTCTTCCAAAAGCGGCAGAAAACATTTAAGCTCATCAGTCATCTTGAAATTGTCTTAGAAACAATGGTCAGTCAGCAAAAAGATGATGGCATTAATATTAGTATATCATAAAGGGTTTTTTTTCACCGAATTTTTCTTTTTTTCAGTACATTAACCAGAAATATACGTGAAAGAAGAGGGAAAAAAGTAGCCATTCAAATACCTGGTAAGGTTTCCAATAACTTTAAACTATAGTGTACAGTCAATCCTGCTTTAATGACCACTCATATTCAGCAACCTAACATCTCCTAAAACATTTTTTTAGCAACTGATTTAAGCAATCACTTTTCTTGCTCAATTCATCGACCAGTGGCCATGTTGTTTAATTGTGTTAGTTAAGCTGTCAGGGCTCTTTACTAGAATTTCTAGTTTTGAATTCTCTTACAGCACTGTGCACATGTAATCAGAGTTTGTTAATTGCGAAGTGACCATATTATTTGTATTAAGACATTAAAGCCACATCTATTCTATTCTTTGTTTTCAGTGTTTAAAGATGAAAATACCCAGTCCCCATTTGTAGAAGATTTAAGTCAATATGGTGATGATGGTACATCACAGAATGCAGCTTTACCAGATCATGTCTATTTAGATTGTATGGGGTTTGGTATGGGTGCATCGTGTCTACAAGTTACTTTTCAAGCTTGTAATATAAATGAAGGGAGAGAACTTTATGACCAACTAGCACCTCTTTGTCCTATACTGGTAAGTTATTCTTTGGTCTATTCCCTTGAACTCCCGAGATTGCTGTACATGTATATCAGATCCTTTGAAGGATAGGTGGGGAAAGAGGACATGTTATAGTTAATGGAAAGGAATGTGAATTTCTTACCATTTTACATAAGAGGCACATTTTTGGGGACGCATATTGATGAAGACTCCATTTGTCACATGATTTGAATAAAACTTGGTAATTTGCTTTTTGTTTTATTCAGACAGTGATATCTAGACTACTATAAGATAAAATTGTTGTTGTTTAGTTTTATTCAGAGGGCAATACATTATAATAACACTAAATTGTAAGCTGTCATGTAAACTTCATTCAGTCACTTTGACACAGCCCCCTGTGGAAGCCCATGTATTATTACACTAATTTGTCTGATTGCCTTTTAAAATTAATTGTGCAGTCAATTGCAATGAAATAGCATTTTATGACCTGCCTACATCAGGTCTTTTAAGGTTTTGGAAATAATAATAAGTTCAAATTTGTTTTGTTTTTTTGTTCCAAGTTTATTTAAATAACACAGATTAACATGTCATGATGGAATGCATTGATTGGCTCAGGTATAAAGCCATAATCAATCAAAATAGCTGTCTATAAATAAAGCTTAATTGAACAAGTACATTAGATTTGCATTTCTTTAATTGTGTTGGTCTCCTAAACAATTATAAAACACAACAAATTGGAATAATGTTATGTAAAATTGAAATTCAGAAAGAGGAATTATTTCATGAAGTTATCCTCATAAAGAAGATAAAGTGTGAATGCATTGTAGTTAGCGTGAACCCAACTCTCCCCATAGCCTCCATCAACCAGCATTACATAGACTTGATCACCAAACTCAAGACGAGTTACTGTTTGAATACTACTGGACGGGTAGAATCCAACACTTTTATTGTCGTCTGCCCAGAGTGCAGCGATTGGTCGACTATTTATGTAAATTCGTGCATTAACCTTAGCCCCAGGATGTGACATCAGGTATAGCGAAACAACATAAACCCCAGGAATTGTACAAATGAACACTCCAGTGGAGTTGTCATAGTTATCGCCAAGGTCAAGTAAAACCAGATCAAAAGGCACAATAGTATCTTTAGCAGGGCCAAAATGTTCTGTTAAAACTGCTGATAGGGCTGCTTGCATGGGAAAACTAGCTGATGCTTCATCTCCTGGCTCTCCTTTTTCTCCTTTGGGTCCTGGCTCTCCTTTAGGTCCTCGATTGGTTTTGCTTTTATCTGAAAAACAGTAAAATGGATCACTGTCTAGCAGAGAAGTCTTAACATTCCAGAATATTAAAGGGGCATTATCATTCTCAAAATAACCTTACCTTAACCACATTATCGAAAATTATAGTACTACGGTATAATTATAGTATAGTATTGTATTTTTCATGAGCATTCATTCAACTCCTATTATTATTATTATTACTTATGAATGAATTATAGTACTACGGTATAATTATAGTATAGTATTGTATTTTTCATGAGCATTCATTCAACTTCTATTATTATTATTATTACTTATGAATGAATTGTAAATATATTTCCCTTTAATTAAACTAATTTTGAACCACTTCTGATATTAGTTTGACCCATACTTTCTTGTATCACCCTACACAACTCACCCTTTTGGTTTTGAGAGTTTTTGACTGCTTTTGCATTTTTTTTCTTTTTTGGAGCTTTACTTGTCACTTTTGATTTGGGTGTCGTTTTAATGACTGCTGCTGGGGTTGTTTCATCAAAATCATCATCATTCTCGTCATCATCAGTGTCTAGGTCATAATTCAGAGTCTCAACAGCACTTTTATTCTTGTCTTTATTATTAGTTTTCTTAGCATCTTTGCTTTCAGCCCCCTCGGTGATGATTATTGCCAGGAAGAGGAAAATAATGGCAAAGATTTTAATGTTGTTCTTCATTCTGATTGGTGAATAATTATTTCTTGAACATGCCTAGAAAAAGATCCAAATTCATATTTAATGGGTTGTACAAATAACCAATTACTATCATGTATTGGATATCTGTCTCCGAAACGAATTCTGTGATAATTTTGAAAGTTAATGAAATGGGGTTTTACATCTTACTCTTCTGCACGAAACAGGCTAAAAAAAAAACCTGGGCATATGCCATGCAGTGTGCTATGAGAGAAATTTTGCTGCAATACAGCCTACTCTTATCTTGTTTACCAACTATCTGGGAATCTTTAAGGTGCTGTCAATGGTATACATGGTTCCTTAGTGTTTGATTCTATCCAAAATTCCAAACAACTATACTTCTCTGTACAAGGGCCATCGTCCTGCACCTCTGATAAGGGGAATCCAGGCAGAAAAATCCTGAGCAGCATTCTCAGCCAACACTTTATCAAAACCCAGACAACCTGGTTAGTGAGCCAATGTCATACTCACTGATCCAAAAACGTTTAAAAAAATTACGGATTTTAATTGACTGAATATCTAAATAGTATTCAAATAATAACTTATAATCAAATAGAAAAATCAGTATTTGTTGTGACCATTATAAGCATTTGTTTATTTCTTTATAGATGTTTTTATATTGATATTATTACGCCATATTTATATTACATTACTATACATTAAAAGCAGACATTTACTTGACAGATACTTGTGTGACAATCAGATTATCAATAAAAGGAGGACCAAGATGGACGCTTATGAACAATTGGCCAGGTCTCATCATTGAATCAGATTCTCATATAACAATTAATTTCATTCTTCTATCCATCATTAATTATATAAATCCTATGTTCACAACTATTTATACTATTCTATACCAATCATCATTCATTTGTTCGTTCATGGGGTTTTACGTTCACTTCCACCCAGGGTGATATTGTAGACAGTCATGAGCTGACATGGCTTTTATACATGTACACTAATTTGTACAGGCCAAAGGGTGTTGTCAAAAATATGCTAGTTAAACATTGTGTAAATTGACTGATGGGTCAATTTTTAAGAGAATATAGTTCAAAATGTTCAGTATGTAGGATCTACCGATTTAGATTATATAAATATTTAGAAATAAAGAATAAAATGTTTAAATCAATTCTATAATCCACAAGCAACTAATATAAAATAAGTAAAACAGGGGTAATTTTGTCTGTGCAGTTTAGTCCCTCTGATATATTTTTTTTAGAACTTAAGAGTTAAATCCCCACTAAAAGACTATTTTACAAGTTACTGATATGAAACTTAACTTGTGCATTTTTTGTGACAAATTCCCCCTACTGTTTTAGTAATGCTCTTTCACCTAGTCTACATGACACTTGCCTAATATTTTACTTGTGGAAAAAGTATTAACTTACCTTAAGCGTGCCGTTTATCTTGCGTCTGATTGAGCTAGATCTAGACAATTCTAAAGGGATACAAGTGTCTAATCTTGGTTTGATTATTGTCTTGTGATGAGGATAAACAAAGAATGTCGTATTTGTTTGTTACTGTAGGGTTAAGCTACAACGTCAATATTCTTATATTTATAATGGCCAGTCTTCATGTTTATTTTGGGAATCAATAATCTCTTGATATTGATAAATTAAAGCTAATCCATCCTCTCTCATCCTTACTAGGTGTTAACCAATTTCCACTCTTTAATCTGTTTCATCAGCTTTCTAAAGTCATTTTTTTTCTTTTTGTGCATTTTAAATGTTTTTTAAGATTCTTAGAATTGCTTAACTAGCTAGATAAACATGACCAAAAGTAAAATGATGTTACCAATTAATGATTTTACTCTCTAGCCGGAGTTGTTTTTACATCAGAACCAGTCTGAAAAGAATGAAATGGGATTAAATATTCTACTTTTCTGCACCAACCGAACTAATGAAGATTGGTGATGGGTAAAAAACACCTAATTTTACAATTTATTGTGGGATAAAGATAAAACACTATTGAAATTCAGACTTTTAAAAACATAAAATATGGAGTTATCTGGCCTTTGAACATGAGTGGGTTAGAATCTTTGACATTTCAAATTTAAAGCCAATCTGTTTTTACAGTGATAATGTGAAAGGTTTCTTTGAACTCTGTACAAGATGGTTGACCCTTTTACTACACATGCAGTATAAGTCTATGTGTTACATCACATCAGATGATGTCAATAACACATGCATTGTTTTGTTTTTATCGGACGTAGTAACACAAACATATCCAGACTGAATTGATGCCTTTTATGCCTTCAAATACTTTTTATTAAGTAGATATACTTAAATAACATTTTTTTTTAATAATTAAAAAAAATATTTTAGAAATTAGTTTGCAGAAGTGAAAAAGTTAATGTTGAGAGCTAATTAAGTTGCCCCTCTCAGTGATTATAGCAGCCAAGTGAATTACTTCTGATCAGTTTGATTTAAAGCTTGTGAACATAATACAGGAAATTATAAGGGGACGTGACCTAACAACAATGTTTTTATACTGTCAGAGATGTAGCATTATAATTGATTAAATAAAGGTGGAAAATAGTAGGAATTGAGAGAAGTTTAAAGATTTGTTGACATGTTTAAAGGTAGTAAACAAACAAGAGAAATCAATAACAGCAACAATTGATCAACATTCAACCAGAAGTCAGGTTTCATCACACAACAGCATATCATCTTTATTTGATCAACAGATCAATACACATAATCAATCACTCTTCATTCTTCTTAACAGGATGACATGTGGACTTACATGTCAACCCTGAGGTATCCATCATCTGGAGAGCTGGAGCAGTTTCAAATTAAAGGGAGATTACATGCAATATTGGAAGAATTTAAAAAAACATTCATGAAATAAATTGATAACAACACAAGATGATTCTGTCATCAACAACCCACACAAAAGTCAAATTTTGTCCTGTGGAAACAAAAGAATTATTCAGTTGAGAAATTGCTAATTAGAAAAAGAAAACTAAAATAACAATTTTTTGTAAAATATACTGTTCTTTAAGTAGGTAAGTAGGTCAGTGCTTCTGTTTTATGTAGTTAGGTTAGTCTAAGGTTATTTTGAAAAAGAAATATTAAAATTAATTTCTTGGTGAAAGTGATAAAACCTCTTTAAATGGTACAATAGAAGAATAAAAGTAAGATATACTCAACCGCTAATATTTTTACTAAAAACATATTAGTTCCGAAATTATTCAAATCAAATTAATTTGGCTTAGGTTATGACCATTTGAATTTTACATTAGTTACTATAGATTCTTTTTTATTTACATTAAGTCGATTGTCCAACAGTCATATGAAATAATTACCTCATACAAAAGTTAGTTAGGTATATGAACTCCTGCTCAGAAGTGGTGTCAGGTGTTCTGGAAAAAGTATCACTATTTGTAGAAAAATGAAGAAAACCTTTTTGACTGAGATTTCAGAAACGAAAGCTACTGGTTGAAAAGTGACTTGTTAGTCTGAAAATGTAGTATAGGTACCCTTATTGTACTGACATTTTAATCCTGTTTTCTAAATGGTACAGTATAAATAAATTCACAGATTTCATTACCCAGTCCTAAATCTTACTTGGAAATAACGCTTCCTACTTTTGGACTTTATCTTCCCTTATCAAAGAATGGTTGTTGGCAGTGTTTAAAAATTTCAAATTCAGAAATATTTTTAACAAAAATGAAATTCTAATTTCATTTTTTTAAAAAGATATTATATAAATGTATCTTATTTGACTTAAAAGTTAAACATACATTATGCAAGAGCTAAATCTGTCTATTGCATGTCTTTCTTTTGGCCTGAAATGTTATCTAAATTATTAATTAGACATTAATTAACCTATCCAGACCATAATCAACTCTAGATGGCATCTAGTTTTTAACTATTATAGTGAGAACTGCCAACTCATTATCGAATTTCCCATAATGTATCTTTGAATAAGATATATTTACATAATATCTTTGTCGTGTTTGTAAAATTATAGTGAAAGGAATTATAAAATAGGCAATGTTTAGTTATTTAAAGATCTGGTCTCTCAAGGATAATAAGTGTGATGAAAACATAGTTTGACAAGAACTTACAAAAATAAAATTATAGACTGAATGTAATTTAAGTTCACAATAAATGAAATAAGAATGAAATCTTTATTTGTCAACTGCGAATTTGGGAGACCACAGTTTGTAGTTAGCATGTAAGGCAGCTGTCATTAACAGATAATTTATGTGTGTGTAACAAGCATATTGTTGATACACACGCATAAACTATCCATTAATAACAGATGTACATGTAATGGCTGAATAGAAATTATCCAGTCATAACTCGCATCATATTTTTCTCTCATTAGCCCAGTTCGGAGCAGAACAGTAGGATGTTAAACCCCATTTCATTTCATTTCTGTATTTTGAATACATTTTCCAATCAATGGTTAGATGAAATTTGGTAGAAAAAATAAAATCTAGGGAATGATTGAACAAAAATTCAAAGGAAACATGATAAAAAGTTTTCTAAATGAATTTTAAAAAAATGGCACCTCTTAGTTTAAAATCAGTCCGTTTTCAATGATATGAATTGCATAAAGCTTTGTGGCACTTTACAATCTATAATTAAAAAAAAATTACTGTAAGCTGCACTATTTAAACAAGCTTTCTTATGAAAAATTTTGACAACTTGTTTAAATGATTGTTTCTAATTTCTGTACAATCACAATTTTCATGTTCTCATGTATGATCAGTTTTATGTTTGTAATGAGTAGGTATTAATGTGCTGATGTATGATCAGTTTTATGTTTGTAATGAGTAGGTATTAATGTGCTGATGTATGATCAGTTTTTATGTCTGTATGTATGAGTAAGTATTAATGTGCTCATGTAACCTGATCAGTTTTCATGTCCTTATGTATACTGGTTTATTTATGTCCTTATGGACAGTTTTCCAGCTAGATCTTAGTGCTTGTCCAGTACAAATAGATAATTATGTATAAATTTATAATTGTATAAATAATGTTTTGTTTTACAGTTAGCATTAAGTGCTGCATCACCAGTATATAGAGGATATTTAACAGATATAGATAACCGATGGACTGTGATAGCTCAATCTGTTGATGATAGAACAGATGAAGAACGTGGATTAAAGGTACATGTTGTCAGCATTTTACATTACAAAAATTATTCAATTTTAACCTCTTTTGTCTTACCCAAAGAGTAACTTTTGACCCCGTTTTTAAGCACAGAACCATATTGTAGAAACAGTGGTTAAAGTTGCCACACAAACCCTTGTCATTAATTGGGCACCGCAGTGGCAAGGAACAGTGTCTAGTCATTTGGATGGGACCAAAATCTGAATCCCATGTACACAGGTGTACACATAAAAGAACCCTTCATTTCATTACTTCTTTTTACTTCTTATTTTTTTTTTTGACCCACTTAATGTGGAAACTTGAATCCGTGTATTGAGAAACTTTTCTTAGGTCTTCTTTAACACACATTTAACAGACCTTGTTGTTAGATTTGACTATTACTCAAAAAATACGGTTTCATGAATGCAAGGATTTCTGACAATGTTCAATTTACTCTTGTATTTGGAAGATGGTAGAACATAATAATGAAGTTCTTACCGACATTGAGCCTGAGAGGACATTATTCTGCATACTGGGTAAACTTGAATACAGGGGTTAATGTTATTCAAGCAATAAGGGTAGCAACTATCAACTAGAATGTCCTGAAATCTAATCCTAGCATGGACCGAAATGCATAAGAGTTGATCGATTGTTGGAATTCCATGAAAAGTAGACAGAAAATAACAGTATATTAGTTTCAAACTGATAGTATTGAGTTGACGAGATGTTAAACTTCATCATCATTTCCTTTTACCACAAGGTCTTTGTTCCAATTCCCAGCAAAGAATAGCAAATAAAAGCAACAGGGGGGTATAAATCATTTTATTCTATCACTAGTGAATCGCATTAATTTTTTTGATGGCTTTAAGATATTGTTTTAATGTAAATGGTGTTGCAGTGCTTAAATTTAATTGTATTTTTCAGCCTTTGAAAGAAAATCGCTTCAGAATAAATAAATCCCGTTATGATTCTATTAGTAGTTATTTATCACCTCAAGGTCGTTGCTATAACGATATACCACTTACGTATGATAAAGAAATCTTTGAAGAATTGAAAAAGGGAGGTAAGAGATACACACTGAAAATGTATTTTATAATTGTTCTTAGTTGTGCAAGATGGTCCACCTATTTCTATATTTCAACAATAGATAGTAAGTAATCAGAGACAGATCCAGGTGGAGGAGCTAGCGGAACAGCCCCCTCTCCACCCCCACTACCAAAACTTATTGTTTCTATAAATGAGCTATCTGTTGGTTGGGTTGATATAGCTGATGAAGTTGAATGTTATTGTTCAATGTTATATTCGGGTCCAGATATCACCACAATCGCCACTGACATATTAACTCAGAGAAGATAACCCCTCCCCACAACCAATTATCCTGTGTCCCCCACTTATAGAGATGAAACTAGATTAGATTAGATTTTTTATTTTTTCTGTATTTCAGGCGTAGATGATCTACTGTCTCGTCATGTAGCTCATTTATTTATCCGGGATCCCATCTCTCTATTTAGTGAAAAGATACAGCAAAATGATGAAGAAGATACCGACCATTTTGAGGTAAATAGATATATTTGTTGATGCATACCTATAATTCTGATGCTGTCGGTCCATAATTTCTTTCCTATCCAAATGTATTGAATATACAATACAATACACACTTAAATACAAAACAAACAATAATCTCAACACAATACAATAATCTCAACAGAGTTCAAACAATACACACATCGCAATGCAAACAATACACACAGCACAAATAATAAACTGCACACACAAATAAAAAACAAACAATAAACTCCACGAAATACACACAGTGCAACACAAACAATACACATCGCACAACACAAATAATACACATGCAATACACAAAACAAACAATACTCACTGTTAGCACAACAGGACCTCGTTGAATTTCAACTGTCAAGGGATCTTTTATGAGCTCTCCAGTGAAATGAAATGAAATGGATTTTAACATTCTACTGTTCTGCTCCGACTGGGCTAATGAAGACAGGGATACGCCAAATTTGTTGGGAAGACTCGGGACCATGATAGGATGCACGCTAGCAATATTCAATGTTCTGTGACTTTCCATTTCGGAGTTATCCACCCTTTGCTAAGTGTTGTTTTACGTGCACACCAATGTGTACAGTTTTTCCGTCCCATCCGAAGGACTATACATTGTCTCTTGCCAGGCCCTCCGTCCTGCACCACTGACAAAGGGGAACCACGTCAGAAGCTTGGACAAGAAATTATGTCTGGTATTTTATTGTTGTGCCCCATTGTTATATCCACAGCACAGATTTTAATTATCAACATAAACATATTATTTTTCCGTACCATCCGAAAGACTATACATTGTCTCTTGCCAGGCCCTCCGTCCTGCACCACTGACAAAGGGGAACCAAGTCAGAAGCTTGGGCAAGAAATTTTGACTGGTATTTTATTGTTGTGCCCCATTGTTATATCCACAGCACAGATTTTAATTATCAACATAAACATATTATTGTTTTTTCTGTTCCAAGTCAAATTGCTGTATTTTGTGATTTTCCGAACTGTCATTTATTGAAGACAATCATAATTCCATTAATCAAATCCCAGATACATAGACCAATATATCCCCTTAATGTCAATTAATGGCTATACTATTTAGTAAATCGGACAGATATCGTTGTCAAACTTTTCATTAACCTTTTTCTATTGAGACAACTGAACTAAAAAAAACTATATTCTTCTTATCTTTTATTTTTTTTCAATAGAATATTCAATCAACTAACTGGCAGACAATGAGGTTTAAACCTCCACCACCAAACTCTACTATTGGATGGCGTGTAGAGTTCCGACCAATGGAAGTAAGTATGCTGATCAAACAGAGATAGTTTGGGAATTCAAAAAAATGGACAAAAACAAAAGATTTCGCATAAATATAAAGAATTAAAAACGTAAATAAAAAAAGAAGTAAATCCTAGAACAAATCCAGTTCTGTATATTGGAATGTCCCAATCCTTCTCGCTCCCCTGTAAACACCTTTAAGGCTTCACAAAAATAGGAAGTGAAATGGAATTTAGCGTCATACTTTTCTGCACCAACCATATGCAGTATGCAGTGTGCTTTGATCGGAATTTTGCTCGGATAGCAGTGTTCCTTTTGGTGTCTCTGCCTACTCTCCATTGAGTTTCAACTGCAACAAGTGCATGGGAGAACCTCAGTTTCTTGCACCATCTGAACAACTAAACACTTTTTTTCCTAGCCAGACCCTTTGCCCTGCAGCACAGACAAAGGGAAACCAGGCTGGATCAAACCTGAGACCTGGTCAGTGAGCTAACATCATATTCCCTGAGCCATTTTGGCCTCCACCACAAAGTGAGAGGTTAAAGGGTTTACTCGATTGAACGTCCCGGAATTAAATTCTCTCAATTCCAAAGGTAGTGTCAGTCGCGTGAAAAGAAGAATTTCGGAGTACAAAGCAAGCATGTGCCGACTGCATAAAAAAATATCTCAACTAATTATGACAGCTGAAACATATTTGTTAGTTAAAATACGTCATGATTCTACTTGCATCACCTCAGCTGTCGGGACTGGCAGAACTGTGACAGGGCAGAATTCTGTATCAGTCCCCACTCTAATTCTATAGGGAGATAAAGAATTGAATTCAACACTCTTTTTTTTTTCTGAGAAAGAATACAAACTTGTAGTGATCTCAAACAAATTATAAAAGTCTGTTTTTTTTTTTTTTATTCTGTTATTGTTCTATTTCAGGTTCAGTTGTCCGATTTTGAAAATGCTGCTTATGTGACATTTATTGTTTTACTTACTAGAGTCATTCTTTCATACAGGCTCAATTTTATTATACCTATATCTAAGGTGAGAACATTTTTACACATGTGAGCTCAACCCCTATAGTTAACAAGAACATTAGAATGGAGGTCATTTTCTTGATTAAGAATGTATTTGTTGTTACTGTCCATCTGCCCTACATATTGAAGCCCAAGTTAATTCTTGGATAATCTTCTGCCAACTTTTTTTTCCGCCATTTAATTGCAGAGTGTTGTATGTTTAAACCACAAAATCGCTCCCTAAGTGAAGCTGGCAAACAATAAGCTGTTAGGTTGCCAGTTAGTGATAACTTGACATTTTTGCCCAGTGCTCGCCTCGTGGGTGTTTTTCAGGGAATCCGGTATTTTTTCTAGTAAGATAGGATGTCTCTTCTTTCCATTTATATCAAATTTGCAATACTGTTATTGGAAATAACTACCATATAAATACTTTCTGGAGTATATATCTTTTATATGTATTCATAATCATAAGTGACCGTTATTGCCCTTAAATATACTAATAACAATTGTTGGCTGTATGTTTTAGGTTGATGAAAATATGAAAACTGCCTTCAAACCTGATGCTGCCCTTTCAGGAAAATTTTATTTTAAAAAAGATGTTTTCACAGGTAAACTGACATTACTGACCTAAACTATCAATGTTTAAATAAATTTATCATTTGTTGGAGAAATTCATTATGTTAACTATTTTGCACTTATATTTGTGATTAAGCAGCTACTAGATCATACAATACAAATTTTTTTATACACTCACCCCCACCGCCAGAATGAGAAGCTGCAGTGGCTCAGTGATTAGGATGTTGGATCGCTAGTCTGGAGGTCTCTGGTTCGATCCCATTGCTGGGTGAGAAAGTCCCTCAGGATTTTCCGGCATGATTTATCCTTGTCAGTGGTGCAAAAAAAAAAGCGAGGGTCTCGTGTACACATTGGCATACACATAAAAGAATCCTTGGTAGTTGGAATTAGGTATAAGCGTAGGCTATAACACCACTGTCAGGGCAAAATTTCCTTCAATGCAAACTGAATGGCGTATGCCCATCTTCATTAGCCTAGTCAGTGGAGAAAAGTAGGACGTTAAACCCCATTTCATTTCATTTCCCTTGGCCAGATTGATGTAACACAATCCAGCTGGTGCTGACATGATATTAAACATCATGGCATTCTCTCATTCAGACGAAAGTTCTTAAAATTACAAATAGTTGCTGATATTATGTATTATAGAGTCAACTCCACCTGAAGCGACGGAATGTTGTGAAACTATGATGTGTTGTAGTAAGAAGAAATGTGAGAAAATTGATGATGAATATACACTTATGACTATAGATGAAATATTTCACGGAAAGGTAAATTGTTGTTTTATTTCATATAAGCAAAAATACAGAGTTGTTCCCCTTTAATCTCCAAGCTTGACTCTTGTTTGTTTGCGAATGTGTTTGTGATAATGAATGTTATTACTATATTTCAGGCTGATTTTCCTGGATTAATACCACTGATAAAACAATATATATCTAATATAGAGTGTGATGTCGATACACAATGTACTGTTCTACAGTATCTTAATCTCATCTCTAAACGAGCTTCAGGTAAACACACCTTATCATATAAAAACTAAAACCTCCAATTAAATTTCTACTCATCAACACCAATCTGATTAAAAAACACAGATCCAATTTCGTTTCGTTTTTATAGTTCAAAATTTCGATTTTACTTGTCTTTACTACACTTGGATCTGGAAGCGTTGTTATTTAACTCGTGTTCTGCTTGAAATGAGGGGTCAGCCAATCAAATGGTCTGTCGAATCGAGCGTTTGGCCTTTTTTGCGCGGAACTGTGGGTAGACATTAGCGGCAGTAGAAATCAAAACAAAGCAAAAGTAGATAAAAAATACATGGCGGTCGCTAATTAGTTAATCGAATGACTGATGTAATCGGGTCAAATGTCGCTTGCTTGGTACCTGACGTCATAGAATGTGAACTCCCACTATAACTTGTTAGATCTACATGTAATGTAAGCCCTCGAAAGTATAAAAAACGAAATGAAATATAGATCTATATTTTAATTAGATTGTGTCAACACAATACTTTTGTCATTTTGAAGCTAACATACGTAATTTTCATTTCATTCCAACTGCCAAAGGTTCTTTTATGTACATGCTTAAGTGTACACAAGTGTGAACCTAGATTGCAAAATTCTGAAAGTTCTTGGCCTATATTGTGATGAGAACCTGATACATTTAATATTAAAAGAGAATCACTAAACATTTATGTACATATGAATGATTATTTTAGGTGATTCTGCCATTCTTCCACCCAGTAGTCTATGGCATCTCAAATTGAGATTCAAACTTGGCTATAAATTGTAATGGGTGGCATGCATAAGGTGGGGAGTGTCTGCTAGCTTGTTTTATAAGAACTCATACCACTTCCCATAGCTAACACTTTAGTGTCACTAGGCTTATCTGTGTGATATGAAGAGTTCAATATTGTTGAATTAGTTAAATATTAAAGGGTGGGTGGGGTATAGGAAACTAATCCCAATGCCAACCATGACAAACACAGCATTTATCCAAATTTATACCTTATTAAAAGATTTAGTCAACTATTTATAAGAAAAGTAGTTTTGAAAGATCCTTAATAGCCGATTCCCTGCACAGGACAAAATTCAAATTTATTCCTGAATGAATTCATTGCTCCTGAACAACTGATATGTTACTATATTATATGTATATGTTGTTTTATTTTAGTCATTAAGGTTTGTTTTTTTTATATCTACAGGGGAGTTGAACACTACAGCAAGATGGATACGCAATTTTGTCACAGCTCATCCAGATTATAAAAAAGATTCTGTTGTGTCGGAAACTATCTGCTTCGATCTCATGGAAAAATGCGAAAAAATCAGCAAAAATGAAATTGAAGTACCTGAGTTGATCATTCCTCACACAACAAAAACTGTTGACAACATTCCAGATGCAATCCGTACACTTTATAAGAACCTGGAAAAGAAAAAAGGTCAAACAGCCAATGGCCATTAAGTTTACATTTATGTAGCTACATTAAACTAATCAACATTATTTTATGAATCTAAATATGAAATTTGAGTACTGTAAAACAAGAAATTAATCAGACTCAACACCCCATTGTTATATATAACTTTTGACGCGTCAGCAAATAAGAATTTTGAAATTTATATACTATGTTTTATTGGCATTTGGAAAGTCAAAATGTGGCCACAGAGATTTTTCTGGGTATAGTCGGACAACCTTTAATCAAAAATTAATTCAACAATGAATATTCATATATATAATTTTTCTTTTAATATGGAATCGTCCCTATTGACATTCCTTCTAGTGATTTTAAAACTTGAGTAACATCCACTGCCAGAGCCAGTATGAAAGTTAGGCCATACAAAAAAAAAATTCTGTAGTCCTTACCAAAAATCTAATGTGGAAGTGAGGTTTTCATTTTCGAGTATCTATTTTGTCAAATGATCATTACTGGGCTAAATGATTTAACATTAACATCACATTTCAAGACATTACATTTATCCCATCATGTTGTTTATGGGAATGCATGATCACCCAGTATCATTTATGATTGTCAGTATAAACATTTATAAGGATTGCATACTTGATAAATGAGCCTACGGCACATTTCTGGATTCATTCAGATTTTTTTATAGATTAACTTCCTGTAACTGGGCTAAAACATTTATGTTCGGTAATTAATGACACTGTTTTATTTTTTATTTTTAAAAATAAAAACAGGTCATGCAGTTGTTTTTAAGATTATCTGAGAAACAGGATATTTTTTTATGCAGCCTTAATGTCTTCTATGAAAGATAGTAATATACATTTCTGTTCTCCAGTACAACGGAATTAGCCGCGGTGGCTTTGTGAGTAAGGCACTGGCTCACTAGCCTGGAGATTTCAGGTTCACTCCCAGTGTTGGCCAACAAAGATCCCCAGGAATTTCCGGAAAGGTTTCCCCTTGTCAAGCCTGCCAAGACGGTGTCTAGTGGCACGAATGAGACAAAAAACTGAGGTCCCATGTATACATTCGGGCGCACATAACCCTTGACAGTTGGAATTTGATATAAGAGTAGGTCATAGCGTCGTCCTCCGGGCACAATTGCCCATCATTAGCCCAGTTCACTTTGCCTTTGAATTTCAAGAAATACCATGGACTATCATTTGAAAGATATTTACCTGGAGATTAATTAGGTTGTCGAGTACAACCTAATTTAATTTGAAAATATTAAATTTATATGACTGAATGTCATTGGTAAATACAATACATAGAATAAGAAAGAAATTCCATCTGGTCAAAAGAAAGTTTGGCACATGATAATCTGTACCTTGACAAAAGTCACGGCTTGTTGTTATATTTCTTGTTTTACAGTATTAGTTAGATCTACCTCTCGTAAGATTATAAAGTGTCTAAACATATTATTGCATGATAAATTTCATTAATAAATGATTATCCCACATCCCTCAAATGAGAAACCCCCAAGTCACGAGGATTAAAATTATCTAAATTTTGAAAGCTTGTTTTATGATGTTGCCTTGGTTAAGTATAGTAAAAATAGTTCATATGCACATATTGAAGTAAGGATACAAGCTTAAAGATGCATTTTGTAAATCTGCCTATTGTCGGTCTTTTATTTTGGCGTCAAATGTTAAATAAATTATTAATTAGGCATTTATTCACATTACCAAGCCCAAAATGTTCAATATATTAATTTTTCATTATCGATTTTTGATCTATCAAGAACAGCCAGCTCGTTTTCCTAAATCATACATAATGCATCTTTAAAATATTACTAAAAGTAAAAAAAAAACCTAATTATTTTAGTTAGATTTTATTTTAAAAAATTCAGCAAGGTAGAATGAAGAGTATATTTTTAAATAGATACTTGAGATGATCTTTTTTTGAAAAGTGCTAATTTTGGAATAGTATTAGTTTAACATTATTTATAGATTTTTATAGATTTCATTAACTACACAAATTACCAAAATTCTGAAAATATATATATTTGTTATCATATGCTTTAACTACACAGTTACATTTTCATTGAGTTTTAGACTGGTCATTTAATCATTGATTACTTGAATATACCACCAAACTGTGGTCAATTTGTATTACATGTACCAGTACATTTAGTGCAGGGTAAAATTAATGTAACAAAAAAGATCTGTAGCCTAAGTACCGGTGTTACAGAAAATAGACCTGTGTCAATAATGTCAAGTTCTGTCAAAGGAGAGAAACTAAAGAACATTATGATCTTTTTTTTTTATCGTTAGCTTACATTTGTATATGCCCACATAGAAATGTGGTTGTATATTGCTGTCGCCCCTGTCTGTCGTCCGCACTTTCTTGTGAACACTTTACAGACTATATTTATCATCTGATTGTTTTGAAATTGATATATTATGTTGTTTACATTACTGAGATGTAGCCTATTCAGTTTTAATAATTTCCTTTAATTTCTTCTGGAGTTATGGCCCTGGTTATTGCACATTATGAACACTGTAATGCATTTATATACATCCTTTGAATTAGTGAAATGAAGAATCCTATTGAACTTCAGCAATTTCCATTTATTACATCTAGCGTTATGGCCCTTGTTTCACTTGTCTAACGACAAAAGTTATCATCCGATAACTTTGAAATTTACATGCATTATTCAAATTAGTGAAAGAAAGAAGCCTAATTGAATTTCAACAATTTCCATTAATTACGTCTTGAGTTATGGCCCTTATTTCGCTTTGTTAAACATTGTGAATGCTCTAATGACAAAAGTTATCATTGGATCATTATGAAATTTATATGCTTTATTTGAATTAGTGACACTAAAAAGTCTATTGAATCTGTCAATTGCTTTTAGAGGTATGGTCCGTTTTTCACTTTGTGTTGAACCATGTGAATACTCCAATGACAATAAGTTATCATCCAATCTGTATAAAATTTATATGCATCATTTGAGTTAGTGAAATGTAGGGTCTATTGAATTTCAGCAATTTCAGTCAGTTGTTTCTAAAGTTATGGCCCTTGTTTTACTTTGTTGAACATTGTGACATTGTGAACGCCCAAACGACAAAAGTAATCATCTGATCTGTATGAAATTTATATGCATTATTTAAATTAGTGAAACAAAAAAGGCTGTTAAATTCCAGAGTTGTTTCAGTTTGTAGCACTTTTTGAACCTTCAAAGGATGAAAACTATAAACTGATCTGTATGAAATTGTCTTACAAATTCACTCCCATTACCTATAACCCTTGTTTCTCAGACGATTTAGCTGCTGTTAGTGTATGTTTTCGTTGCCTGGCAATCTATCTTAAAAATATGAAATATGACCAGCTCTGGCCCCATGTTTGAGATACAGCAAGAAAAATGGAATAAATTTGATTTTAACAATTTAGAACTTCCATCATATATTCTTAGTTTGTCTTCAAATAAATGACCTTATTTTTAATTTTTGCAAGCTCAAAGGTCCAAATTGAACAGGTATGCATGAAATTTGTTGGTTTTAGTTGCTATGGAGTCAGATTTTATTTTAGTAATTTATTTTCAATGGCCTTCCCCCCCCCCCCCCCCTTAAAATTGGTGTTAAAGGAACTAAATCGCTAATATTTGGGACCTAGAAATTGACACAAATGGGTCGCAATCCATATAATAATGTAATATAAATGTGTATAAACTGATTTACATTCATGAATATGGCGTCACGGTTTGACATGACTTGTGGAACATCTCTAGCCTTGTTCTTCGAGTCTCCTGTTACAAATGGTGCTAAAACACCAATGGTAAAATGTTTATTTTGTCTGAAATATTGGATATCAGAAGCCCATCTTTTCTCGGTAAGATCATAACATCAATGTTGATTTAAATTGACAAATAATTTGTGTTTTCAATGTCAAAGACTTTGGATGATATTGAGTTAGAGACTTAGCTACTTTAATATGTGTACCAGCTTCTCGCTAAATATGTTGGCTATTTTTCTAAGATAAATGCATGAGTCACATTTCAGTTTAAAGGTTTTTGAATACAAAATTTCCATTGATACATAGTTGTGTTTTGAATGTTGGATCATGTCTCATTCACCCAGGGCCAGTCACATATACTCTTCTATTTGCTCTATTCACTATAGCTGTAGAGTCACACTTTCACTATAACCACACTTTATGTATACATATGATAATATGTATCCATTGATACATAGTTGTGTTTTGAATGTTGGATCATGTCTCATTCAGCCAGGGTGAGTCACATATACTCTTCTATTTACTCTATTCACTGTAACTGTAAAGTCACACTTTCACTATAACCACACTTTATGTATACATATATCATAGATAAAACAATAAAAAAACAAAATTATTCTAATAGTGCTAGAATCAGAGTTAAGTCTATGTACAATTAAAGCAAATATGTCGGACACTTAGAGTGGGTGCTAAATTGCATCAATGGCATGAGGTAATAACTGGAAATACACAGTACAATTACTGTTTATTTACCGTTTGATTTTTCATCTACTTGCTCAGTAATAAACAGTAATTGTACTCCATAGAATTGTGTATACATTTGTACAATAGAATTGGAATAGAATTTTCTTATTCAGTTTATGCACATCAACTGTTACACCTCCATAAGTGTGTCCAATCCATGTTTTTTCTATAATTACTGCTTAATAACGAAAAGTGGTGTCAATGTTTTTATTTACTGGTTATATTTAAAATTAAGAATATGGAAAATATCTGTACATTTATCAAATTAAAGATACATTAAGGGAGATTTGATAACAAGTTGACAGTTCTCACTATAATAGTTGAAAACTAGATAATTTAAAGGCAATTTGCTGAAAATTTCATTCAAATTGATCCACTATGAACCGAGAACTAAGTGGTTGAAATTTCCGCCTAGCCTGGATCATTAGTTAAAGTCAGTAGATAAACAGTATAGTCTCGATTATCCATTTAATTGTTAAATCGTGAAGGAAAGTTATGCAGTAAATCGGCTCATAATCCACTAAAGATCGCAGGCTAGCAATGCCATCTAGAGTTAATTATGGTCTGGATAGGTTAATTAATGTATGTTTAAGAAATAGGAGCATATCTGTTGTTTAATAAAGAATGAGGAAATTTATCTGTTTGTAGACTGACTTATGAACTAAAGTACTGAAAACTGTATCAAGCATCAGGAAAATTACTGTACATGTATCTGAATAATTACAATGTATCTGGAAAATTACAATATATAATAATATTAGTTAGTAATTACTCAATTTCAATTAGTAGTTTCTTAATATTAATCAGTATAAATGACTCACTATTGATTAGTAACGACTTTAATATTAATCAGGAATAACATCCATATTAATTAGTAGTTACTTAAAATTAGTAATTACATAGGGAAGTAAATTGCACCCCTTATTAACTTATATTCATTAGTAATTATATATACTGGCAATTAATGTTGTATACTATGTTATTGTAGAGATTTATACAATCAATCATAATATATTCTATTGTTTTTTTTAAAAAAATAAATATATTCCAGATTCATCTTAAGATTATATTTTGTTGCTTTTCTTCTGCTATACAAGTTTCACTTTTGGTGCATTACAAGACTCCTTGTTTAGACTTTGCAGTAGGATATGTAGTTGTTGTTTATTACAATTTAACATCGAATACATTATAAATATTATGGACTGGTTGATTTAAATAAGATTATTTAAATATGAAATAGCAATAAAAAAAAGGGTAAAGCAAAAAAAGTTCTTGTATACATGTATAATAATTTCACTTCCAAACACCCACTGATATTCAGCGGCGGTTTAACCCATAGGTAGTGTAGGCAGCTGCCCAGGGCCCATAAAATCTTTGACGACCTTTTTAAATTTGATGTTTTAAATTATTTAATTCACTGGACTACGCTTCCCACGAACCTCACACGGTTGTGTCGGCCGTTCAATATGAGGGAAGTATTTAGGCCTGCACGGTCTTTGACACCATAGCGCTCGAGATGAGCTTTAGGGTAATCGACCACTCCGACTGGGAGACTGTCACTCGCTCGCCTTACATTAGCCTTGTATCCGGTTTCGCTGTCATTTAAAAAAGTTTTTGCGATTTTCTCTTAAAATTTGTCTTTCTTTCATTACGTGAAGGCCGCGTCATTTCAACGTAGGTCGGTACGCCGTTGACATGCCCCAAAGGCAAAGGTGTGGATGGGAGAAGAGAGGACAGAAAAAATATGCAGCTGAAATTCTGAAAAAAGGGGTCAAAACTACGCCCAAAATCACGATGTTTTTCGGCGGCCAGGGACAGGGTCACTGCTCAGTCGATGAAAACACGAATGATATCATCCAAAATAATGAGTCGCCGACCGACCAGTTGGGAGTGATTTCTGAATATATATTTGTATATGTGACATTTTGACGATTCAATAATTTTTTCATGGCATTCTTGTTTAAAACTATCAATTAGTCGAAGTTTTTTTTATTACAGAGCCATTATTTTCCCAAATATTTCCTAATCCAAGCCTAAATAATTATTTTTTAACATTATCTATCCAGTTATCATTGTTTATGCACATATCGTTGTAACATCGTCTAAGAATTAAATTGTCGGTGTTAATTAACTTTAACCAATATTTGAATATTCGAAATTTTCTTAGTATAGAAAGTTGATATCTACCTAATTCATGGTATATCATAACCTTACTAGTACTATTTCGTGTTTGAAGAAGTCTTCTGAAAAAATTTAGATGCACCTTTTCGACATCTTCAAGATTTTGATTATAGAATGACCAGTTTTCTTTTCCGTCAATTTTTCCACCATTTCTAAAAAAAATCACGCCTGGTGATATGAGAGTTGATTTAAACTCATCATGGATTGTTGATGAGTTGTAATTATTATATCAATTATCGCCACTGATAATAATTGGGTTGATATTCTGTCATCACGTTAATTTTGAACATCAGTCCGAAAACTCTTTAATTGCAGGTGAACTGGTAATCTGTTATCACCAAAGACCACTTATACTAGAGTCAATAATTTATTTCCCCTACACACACACACAGACACACCCAAAACACTCAGTAAAGTCTAATTTCCAAGGAAGCGTTTCCGCGAGCGTTTAGCCGGCGAAATATTCGGTTTCGTGCCAATGTAATGGGATCGTTTCCAAGTAACCAGATGGCGGTTGCTTACTTTGAATGAAAGGTTCACCACTTCCCATTTTCAAAAATGTGGAACAGACCATACCTCGTTCGCATTTGGAAATCCTGCCTACGCAACCACCTATTTGATGTGTACACGTTCTTCAGAATTAAACTCTGTTCAGCTTTTAGTACGCTCAGGAAGGCGGCAATCTAATATGGAAGGGTATCGCTGCCAATATTAAATGTTCTACGACAATGTCGTTTCCATTGATTATATGTAAAAAGTACAATGTACAAAGTCCTAATACCGATAATGTCAAAGTCAAAATACCTCTAAGGCAAGAGTTAAATTTAAAACGTCAAATGTTAAGTGTTAAATGACAAATGTTTTGTGGGAATATGCTTTTTTTTGACGTGTCTACATTTCTCTCATTACATTTTACATTTGCCATCTGCCACATCCCATTTGTCCTTCAAGCTTTCTACATAGCAACTTTCGCACAGCATCAACTTTCATATGCCAATGTAGGATATCACGTGACTTATTAACATATATGGAAACCCGGCACTCTCTAGCGGTTTAAGTTAATACATTGATACATAATGTTAAAGGTCATGAGACTAAGAAACCTATTGATTTTCAACGATTTCCGACAATTACTGCCAGAGTTATGGCTCTTGATCACCTTGAAGAAACCTATTGCTTTTCAGCGATTTCGATAATTACTGTCTGAGTTATGGCCCTTGATCACTTTGAAAAATCTTGTGGATACTCAGTTAATATCCGATTGACCTTAAATTTATACACAGTGTATAAGGTCATCAGACGAAGAGACCTATTGATTTTCAACCATTTCCTACAATTACTGCTAGAGTTATGGCCCTTGATTACCTTGAAAAATCTTGTGGATGCTTTAGAGATTTTATATACCATGTTTACGCCTATATATAATCGTTTCGATTGAATTTAGATTGATACACAGAGTTTAAGGTCTTAAGACGAACAAGTATACTGATTTTCAATGATTTTCGATAACTTGAACAGCTAAATCCATGATATTAAATCTTAGCATGGGCCAAACAAATTCTAATGATTTTCTGATGATTACTTAATGAGTTGTTACTCTTAATCAAATTTTAGTGTATTATAAATGTTTCATTACCCACAAAAGTAAAAATATGCGACAACTCTTGTTGACTGCCGGACGATTTAGCTGCCGTGTGCGTATGTTTCGTTGCTTGGCAACCTATATTTTTAAAATTTGGGGGAAATCCTCAATCATTAAAGTCTAATGCCATTCTATAAAACAAAACAAATAATATATTGCACTTGTCAACACTAGTTAAGCGACATACAACACCCGTGTTATTGTGTAGTGTATTTTTACTCTGTGGTTTAATACAGCAAAAATAGTCAATATTCACTGTTAAAAAAGAAAACAATTTATGGTCACGTGACCAATAGAATATGTGCATATACCTAATGAAAGAATGTGACAGATGTTCATGTTATGGAAACTCCAAATATCGACGTTTTCATTATTACACTTTATATCAGCTTCTACGTATGCCATTGGCTGCGTTTGCGTTATGCTTAACGTGTAGTTTAATAGCTTGGGCTTGGCAATTATTTTTGATTTATCAAGACCCACTAGCAATATAATTATCGCACGTATAGCGGATTGAAGTGGCTTAAGGCCCAGAATTTAATGACGATTGAATTGCACGAGTTATTATTGTTTTTCTGCATTAGCAAAACGCAGACGTGTTCTTTCTCAGTGTAGCGGCCATGTTGGCAACTTGTATAAACTTTTAATTCATAAACCGGATCGCTTAAGACAAACGTCGGATAAAGAAACATGTTTTTAAGAGAATTTATCAGATAGAAAGTATTTGTGAAATTTGATCTCAGCAATGGCATCTTCGAAACCGGTCAATGTAGATAACTCTGTGACTTTAGACGATGTTCGCCGTATTAAGAATGGAGGGTGCGAACCTACGTCTCTTGATAATGATCAGCATTCCGAATCCAGTTACACAGACAGTCTGGATGCCAATTCCACGGATGATAAACCAAAAGTCAAAGGCAGACGAAAGAAAAAATCTCGACTTCCAGTTCTAAAAGATGCGCCTTTATCCGGACCTAAAACGGCTAATCCGCCCCAACGAGTAAACAGTCCAGACTCCATAGAAGGGGAGAGAGTCGAAGGAGAAAACCCGGGTAACGACGAAACTGTTGTGAACGGAGCTTATAATTGTTGTTCGGAAGCAACAGAGAATAGAGATAAACTTTCAGAGAAAAGGTGTCAAAGGAGTCATTCGACTGAAGAACATGGATCTAAAAATTCCAGTCGCTCTAGTCTGTCCAGGCGGGAAACAATCGACTTAGGTGAGACCAAGACCAAATGTTGTGCTGGGCAGGGATTGAAAGAAGGAAAAATGGACATGTTCATGAACTCTAACGAATGCATCTTAATCCCACATCCTCATGGACAACCGGTCCACAAAGATACCATCACTAGTCGAATGAGAATTGAGAAAGCACACAATGAACACATGGAATCCGACAAATCCGCCTTAGATTATCTAACACCCTTTCAGAGAAAAGAACACGCCATCAAGGATCTGAAAAGAGAGCAAAGAAAGTTGAACAAACTCCTCGAAGAAAGACATATGGAAATTGAGCATCTTCGGGAAGGTCTTGGCAAAGAAGCTCGGGAGCTGTTGACAACCAAAGACGATAAAATTGAGGAAGTTCAGAAACAGTTCGATGACATGGAAAAGAAATACGAAGAGTTGAAAAGATCGTACGAGGAGTCGGTGAAGACGGTTACTAATCTGGAGGCAACGGTAGAGGACCTAAAGGTAAGTCTCAAAATAAAATGCCACTTTGTGGATGTGTCTACATTTATGTTCATTTCGTTGATATTCTCCAGGCTCACTATTTTCAAAGCTGTGTGTTATGGATACGCACATCGTTATCGACAACAAACCTCTGTTATGATTAATATAAATAGTAGATTCCTTCAAACCAACGCGATATTTTTAAATTGCGTTAGATTGTTAAAACTGGAACTCTTGTCCGTTGTTTGCGTACCGTGTATTAATGGACCTACAGGTAATGTCAGTGTCAGTGACGAAAAGACACCGATATCAGGCAAACATTAGTCCTCTTTTGTGTCTATGCAGTATCAGACCGGACCTTGGGTGGGGGGGGGGGCTCTCACCAGGAGGATCTTTAGAACCATGATTATGGAAACGGCAATTTTCATGAGCTGGAACAATGAAGCATGAGAATAAAAGAAATGGTTACAACAGAATACACGCTCATCAATAGTTTTATGGTCAGTCATGTTTGTTTAAATCGTCAAGTTATTAGACTTATCGATACGTAGCTTGAAGTTGCCACATTAACATGGTTAAAAAAAGAACAACACAAATTTTACATTTCCGCTTATTATTGTCATGTTCAGTCGCCAATAAAAACTGATAAGAAACAGTGATAAAATATCGATTTGTTTAACTGAGTAAAATCGTTCATGTGTCACCTGTATATTTTGTGACATTCTTTATAAATCAATAGATCTACTGGTATACACAGTTACAAGAAACTCAATTATAACCAGATACCATTGATAACTCTGAGCACTGTATTAATGGTATTTTTAAATTAAAATCTTTATTAATTGCTGTACGGTTCATTTAAACAGTTTTGAATAATGATGACATTATAGAATGATATTAGATATTAGCTGTTTGCTACGTGTTGGTATCCACTTTACACAGCGGGAAGTGTTTGACGTAATGTCAGTGATTAACAATAAATGTGGACACCTGTTATATGATTTAATACATAAAGCCAAGCCCCATTTTCCCACTCATTAATAATATTTTCAGTTGAAAATAAGTTATTCTCCCACAAAAATATATACCATAAGTTATAGAGAAATAAAAACGACCAAGGTTTCTAAATGGACGTATCCTCAGACCGTTTTCGTGTACTGCATTACAGGCGTTGGTAATCTACTCCTACTGAAACGCTGCGCCTTAATGCTTTATTTAAAAAAAAAGAAAATGGTGTAAAATAACTTAAATACAAGGCACTTTGAACCATCGTTTATATTTTGTGGTAGCCATGGAAATGTAAATTTGCCAATGCCCTTTTGTCAATTTCTTTCAGACTCCAACATGTCGCCAAAGTTGCATGTCGGATCTGATACAAAAATAATATTCAGATTTCTTCCATAGCTCCACTCGGTTACATTGTAAAGTTGAAAACAATCCATTCAAAAATGAAAGAAAAATAACATTCGCTTTTACTTCCCTCGTGTCTGTGTTCTCATTACAGAGCTCGTTTCATTAAATAGTGGATACTAGTTTTAATGACTTATTACTGTGAACTTAAAAAATCCCAACAAACTTAATTGTCAACGGAATAACCCAACATGATCTGTTACATTTTGGGCAAAAGTTAGTCGACACGTCTGATTTATGGACAGGACGGACGGACAGTGTCTAATCGTTCGGGTACCTGTGTATACCATTGGCAGTACGTTAAAGGTATGACAGAGTTGGACATCGAAATGAGGGTTGTAGCGGGGTTGTCCACACTGCATGACATATGACAACCCGGTAATTTCTGATTTACCGTGTAGTATTATGCTATGTAACGGAGAAACTGCAGCGATGGAACTAAAACCTGTTGTCACCTTTAAACAGCTGTGACCATCTTACATATTGAATATAATAAATATATTCTTTGCCCTACAAACGCGCCATTTAATCTATTGTTATAGGCCAGTTACATGTTATTATTATAAATAGTACAGTGAATTACCTAGGGAGATAAATAAATGTGTTAGAAGTTTGACCAGCTAACTTAGTTGGTGGTTTAAACCTGGATTTCTGAAGCCGAAGCTAAGGAGAAGAAGATACATCTGGGGCCACTAGCAGAGTCACAACCCCTATGTTTTTTAAAAACACAAAACGTCAGGGAAATAAATATATTTGCTAAATTACCCAATTCTCTAAAGATTTGGACAGTGTGGTGTTTTAGGCTCTTTTCTATACAGAAAAAAAATTCTCCTAAACTTACAGTGTGGGATTTCCTCTTGAGCTAGCAAGGGCGACTTCGCTGCTTCTTTGGCGTATTAGGGGGCATGCCAAGGCTCCGTCTAATGATAATGTGCATCAAAACCAATTATTTAGTATTAAGTCAACAATTCCATCACCGGGGACAGGTTTATGAGGGGGCAAATTGACTATTATTTTTAAAGTTGTATTACTTTTGTTTTAAAGGAAAATATAGCAGATATTAATCAGAAACACGAAGCTTTATATTTGGAGATGTATGTCAAAGGTCAAAATGCTGCCAGATACGAACGAGAAGAAGAAGTAAGTATAGGATGCTCTTTTTAATGGACCCAGCCGTATGCTGGAAAATAAAATGGCACACGGCTTGCGTTGCATTAAAATACAAAATATTCAAAAACTATATTCAAGAATTACGTTTCATCGTGGGTTTAAGAGGTGTGCTTATATTTTATTATTTCTTATGATAAATGTAGACCAACAGTATACATGTATAATATACCACCATTCACTTGATATGATAATGCTCTTTGTCTTATTTTACAATGTCCGTGTTTTTTGTGGTGCCGTTATGACTCGGTGAGTATGGTTGCCTCCTGTGAGTGGCGTATGAAGAAAGGTCTGGCAATGACCAGCATCTAGTCATTCGGGTGGGGCAACAAACCGAGATCTCGTGTACACGTAAAAAAACCAAAATGACCAAACTTCCTTGTAGCACACTGCATGGCGTATGCACGTCTTCATTAGCCCGGATAGAGAAGAAAAGTAGGATGTTAAACCCCATTTCTTTTCTGTGTTTTTGTCTTGTCCCCGTATTTAATTTCTCGGTTTCAAGATGGATGTTGTGTGTGGATCGCCTATCATGTGTGATATTTGATAAACACGTGTTTTTGCTTAGTCATAACTAATGATCAATGTTCTAAGTTTATATTGTTATTTTAGCTCCTATTCTTCCAGATTGAGCACATGGCAGGTAAAGCGAACAACAAACTGTTTAAAAAGTCCAAGGAACAACCCGATGTCAACATAAAAGAACTTTTAGCGAAGTTAAATCGCACCCAAGAAGAACTTGCCAAATGGCAGTCATTAAGACGTCAGGAATCTTACCAAGAATCTGATAAACCAGAAACGGAAGCCGAAGCCACGCTAAGATTTCTCCGTGATTCATTTTACCACTATATGACCGATTCCAAAGGCCAAGACGACCATATGAGAGCTATGATTCAAATATTTAATTTCACGGAGGTTCAGAAGAAAAAACTTACCAAATGTCTTCTAGATAGAAAATCTAAAACATAGGTCCTATGTTCTTAAGAATTAGTAATTATTAAAAAAAAACCGCAAGTATAGCGACATGAGGAAAAACTCAATGAAATCCGTAACATATTTCCAAATTCTAAACTGGAAATAATTTGGGATTGATAATACTGCTTAATAAAACTAATGTAGTCAGAAATTCAGTAATGGGTTACTGTGCGAAAATGTTTCCACTTTTAAATTATTTCTGCATTCTAATATGGGCTTAAAAAGATGGTGGGTGTTGATGTGGCAATGTGTTATCTGCATACAAGACATGGTGGTAATTTCTTTTTTCTGTAGCTTATTTTCTCCTTTCACTATAATACGCGAAAGGTGAGATATATGACATTATTGGGCACTAGCATGAGGCTAATGTAGGGTAGATTCCCCTTTTTAAAGATGCTATATATTGTACAATATGTACTGGTATAGTATTATGTATATACAGTAATTAATGAGTTGATATTAATTTAACCCATTGTGACTTAAGGTGCCAAATATCAGTAATCAGGCATTCGTGAATGTCGGGATATATGTACCACTGTGCCTTATTGTATTATTCAGTAAAACTATTGCTAAATAAACCATATTTTTTTTATATTTTTAATGATATTCAGGAATTGGTCAAGTATTGAGCCTTTTTTTTTTATTAACCTCCCTGGGAATCATATAAAGACCATATTTGACTGGCATTCTGTGAAGTTGGCTTTCTGGAGAATTTATCTTTTAGCCAATTTACATGTCATAAACTGGGGTGCATCAAAGAATTTAACCGTAAACACATTTTTTTTTTTAATGTAAAAGCATATAAAAAAAATAAATAATATATCTAATTTGTCTCTTGGGATTCCAAATCAGTATGAAAACCGGTCTACTATAAAGACGAATTTATATCAATGCCATATGCCGTAAGATACAAAAAAAATGACTGGCTGGCAAAACGTTGTAGTATAAGCTCTGGTCTATTGCGCTGACATTATTTTGGTGGTAAAATAATAATTGAAGTTTACAGTTATGACGTCAAACTAACAAAATATTTTTTAAAAAAAAATTAGTATGCACTTTATACATATCATATAGGGACTAATTGTTGGAATATAAACCTATATGGTAAATCTGAAAGCTACATCCATGAGAGATTAGATGAGAGCTGGCAGTTCTCACTATAGGGCCTAATAGTTAAAAACTAGATAATGTAAAGGGAATTTGCTGAAAATTTCAATCAAATTGATCCAGTCTGAACGGAGAATTTAGCGATTGAATTTTCGGCCTAGCCTCGATCATCATTACTAGAGTCGATACGATAAAATACATAGTCTTGATTATCCATTTCTTGATTTAATCATGAATGAGGGTAGAGCAGCAGATCGGATCCGAATCCAGTAAATATCGCAGGCTAGTAATGACATTGAGAGTTGGTTATGGTCTGGATAAGTTAATTAATGTCTAATTAATAATTTAGATAACATTTCAGGCCTAAAGAAAGACCTGCAATAGGCAGATTTAGCTCTTGCATAAGTATGTTTAACTTGTCAGCTTTTAATGGGGGATAAATTTGTTACAGAAATATTCACCCAGCAGGGAAACAAAAAACAATATAAATGACAACACCTGTTGCTTTACAATGCAATATCTTCCATTGTTCTTTACTGCTGATATAGATAAACATGCTGTAAATGATATATTTGATGTTCATTTACATATTAGCATAAAGGAAAGATATCAATACTAATTCAACTTATTGTTCGAAATTGAAACAAAAATTTGGTTGTGTAGGATTTGAATTAGCCTTCAATATAACAGATCCAAATTAGTATTACTGTATATACCCCTGTGAAATTTCTAAATATTATAAGCCAAAATGTAATAAATATTTGTTATCAATATAGCTTGTTATTGTTAATATAAATTCTATATAGATTATTATTAAAATATAAATAAAATAGATTCTATCTGAAATGATATATATTACAACTTATGGAATATGAATGTTTTATTTGTCATTACTTCTCGGCTTTAAACTATAAATGATGAATCAATAAATAATATCATTTTATGCTTAGAAGTGATGTTTTATGTTTACAAATTATATCAAACCAATAAATAAATATCTGCAGTCTTAGCCTAAAATCTAGCCTATGACTACCGCTGGGTAAAATATGAAATTGTGCATTTTGAATGGTATTCCACACAAAGAGAGCAAATATGCTCACTCAGCAGCTATGCCTTATGACCCCAATGCTTCACACCAAGTTTGGCGTTGTGGAATGCCGAATATCGACAGGAATTGTCACCTCATGCCTCATGACTTCAATGATTCACACCAGATTTGAAACAAATTCATTAAACTGTAGCCTCTATCATATTCACAAGGTTTATGTCAAAAGGGGCGTAACTCTGGAATGGAAGGTTCAAGAAATGATGAATATGAGTTACATTTCCCCCTATTCTTCTAAATGCAATTTGCAAGTGATCTTTTTTATGCAATACCAATTTGTCCAAAGGACCACCCTTCTGTCATCCTGTTTGATTAGCTTGTCAGTACCATCCACAGACACCATCCCTAATAATTGGTAACTGGTCTTGAAATTAAAGTCATTGTAACACCGCATTTTTGACAGACTCATTACATATCTTTATACTTATGATATTAATCCATGTACAATTCTATTTAAAAAATAGATTGCCAGGCAATCAAATATAGCTCGTGTGAGCAGTCTGTGATTCTTTAGATTTATTTTTAAACAATATTTATTCACAAAAACTAGAATGGTGAACAGGCAGATGCCCATAGACCTCCTCTCCAGATTCGTCTACATAAATATGAATCATAATCTTTATTCTGGTTCTTCGACAGTTTCATTCAGAAACACTGATCTTGTTCGGCTGATAATCCAAGCGCCTTGATTAATATGATTTGATTCTGTGAAATTCATTTATTGAATTTTTGATTATTTAAGCTCGTTAGAGTCAATTATCTTACTTGATTAAACTGAATTAGAAAGCACATTTATTGGTTCTGAAATAAATTATTTTGAAACACCGCAGTACAATCTATGGTTCAGTTCATAAACTTTCTGAGTGATAGTCTTGATTCGGATGCCATTCTTTCTGATAGAATCAAGCACATCTTTATTTATTTGTATCATTTGAAATGTTTTGGTGTAAATCATAATTTGGATGGTTTTCCCAGATTAAAACTGCCATGTTTTCCTATACCACTGGTAAACTTCTGAGCACCTGAAATATTAGAAGAAGAAATATACACGATAGGTAGTAAAGAACATTTTATATATCTGGTAACTCTTTGTGAAACAGTGCCTTTATTCACGAAATCTTTAAGAAAAATATTTTAAGAATGCTGCCTTTCCATTTAAAGACACCTAAAGTAAGAAAACCTTGGCCATTTAAAAAAAATTGTAAATTTTTTAATGGACAAATAACAATAAATTTACCAAATGTTTGTAATTTTTAGTACTTCGATAGCAATTTTGATATTTTATAGTTTGGAAATTCTCTGTGTTTCACCCCATTCAATTTCCCTGTCAGCTGACACGTTTCCCTGTTATTGCATACAGTCTTACCTGCTATAGACTCGGTACTAATAACTTTGATGCCTTCAACATATTCAAACTGTAAAGCATTTTTAATTGATGAACTATTATAGACTGAGTTATATACTGAACGTCTATCTGTTAACATACATTCTTGTGGAAACTGAGCTATATTACTAGCTAGCTGACATGCTCTTCCTAATGCTGTAAAATAAAATCAAATTCTTAAAGAAGCTGGTCCCACTAATTCTGTAAATAATGATGGCATCTTCCAGAACCAACTTTTAAAATTTCCTAAATTAAAGATTGCATGGCAGTCATGGGAAGTGAGAACTGTCTAAATGAAAGGTTAGAAATAAGTCTAAGAATTATTAGCTAAGAATTTTTTTTTACACAAAACTGCTTAAGACTTATTTATACTGGACAGTAGTGAGTACTATAGATCTTACTTGCTTTTAACTTCATACCCTACCTGTTCCTGTTGCAACAAGCTGATTGGCTAAACCAAATTCTAGAGCTTCTTTACCACAAATGGGACGGCCTGTTAGTATAAGATCCATTGCTCTAGATAGACCAATCAATTGAGGTAATCTAACAGTTCCACCATCTATTAAAGGTACACCTGTATGTTAAAATGTAAAACAATTTTCAAGAAACTCCAAGAATCAATATGAACTAACAGATATGATATGCCAGACATAACCCTGTGTTCGCCTTGCAAGAATATATAGTAGTTTAAATGCTATTTTTTTTGTATCTGTACAGTTTAAAAACATAGTATTGTTTAGATTCCAAACCAACAGAAGATATACGAAAAAAAAAATATATAAACTGTATACTGCAGAGTTCTCTCCCCTAGCACATCATCATACTTTTTTCTTTTCAAACTGTGGTCAAAATCAATTTGTTATAGAAGACATGAATTTAAACACTCAAACTAACTATGAGAAAGATGATTTACACAAAACAAATAACAAGATATATAAATTTAGATTTTCATAAGAATTACATCCCTTGACAGATATTCAAGATTAATTTTTATGTTAAAATGCTAATAAAATGTCAATAGTTCACTAAATAACTACCATAATTGCAAGTAAAATTATTTTAATCCATACTTACCAAATCTACGACAGAAGACACCCATGACAGCTGATTCTTCCATAATTCTTATATCACACAATAATGCCAACTCCATACCGCCAGCTACAGCATAACCACTTATAGCCCCAATAACTGGCTTACTAAATAACATTCTAGATGGTCCCTAAGATGCAATGAAAAAAAAGGGATTAACAATTATCATATTATACTTTTTGATGCCTTTACATTCTAATAATAATACAAGAAATTAATTCTTGTACTAAAACAGCTTGTATATATGAGAAATATTTTAGAAAGGTATGCAGTCAAATTTGCAAAATCCCTCAGTGTAATGACATATAGCGATCTCCTTAATAGCACTACACTTTTTCATCCGTCCCATAATAAAAATGCACAGATGTATTTTATTAATTACAATTTTTGTCTGATATGAGGTTCTTTACTGAATAAATGTAAAAAGCAAAATGACATTTGCTCAAAATTTTGTTCTTTATGTAGCAGGGATGTAAATAATGGTGTGCTATATGACTGATTGTTCATATATCTGGTGATGCCTTGATGGTTCAATCAAGTGTTTGTCATGTATTTAAATATACTTAAACTAGCCTCACTCAGCAGAGGTTTATGGACTCCATTTAAGGCTAAGAGTTTGATTCCTAACAGGACCATCCTGTCACATTTTCAAAATTTTTTGTCTTCTCTGCATGGACTTAATAAAATGTTTGTTATAGCCATAAGCTCAAAACTGCGAGTTTTGGATATATGATTTAAAATTATCGTTTTTATGGAACCTTGGAAATACATTATTACTTGTTTTTAATGACTTACCATAGGAGCTTCATCACTACTATTAGGGTCTTTTAATGAGAAATTTGTATTATCCAACTGTGACAAAGCCTTTAGATCAAAACCAGCACAAAAATTACCTCCTGGAAAAAATGGGTTAATGATGGATGACTGATAATATTAATTAATCAAAATGTACATTTCTATCATGGGGACATACTGAGTTCAGATATTATATGTTAGGGACACACTGAGTTTGGATATTATATGTTACAGACACATTGAGTTTATATATATGTTACGGACACACTGAGTTTGGATATTATATGTTTTGCAGTCCATCATTCATTTGTGCACTTTTAATTTTTTAGATTCCTTCTCATAAATTGAATAAATGCAGCTGATATGCCCTTTTGGGAAAAAGGAGGAAAAAACGTCATTTAGCCTACCGGTACTTTAAAACCAGTGTGAGGCAACCTTGTACAAAATTTTGTTTTTCTCAGTAAAAATCTATTTAGCTCAAATTATAGAAATAAATATTTCCAAAGGAACCAACACTAATTGTGTCTTTTCTAAGGAACATCTGAATCAACAATGACAAACTTTGATTGTTGTGACCCTATGGATCCTCAACATTTACTGACCTTTTCCATGAAGAACGGCCACTAAACTGTCTTTATCAGCTTCAAATTGTTTGAATGCTTTAATCAACTCTTGAGCTGTTTCAGGATTAACAGCATTTCTGTGTTCTGGACGATTTATACCAATCATAAAAACATTCCCTATTTTTTCTGTCTCTATCAAATCTACATATGGTACACAGAAAAAGAACTTGCAATACTTTCATTATACAATGCAGGAATATTGCTGATATAAAATAGACAATGTGGGAATACTGCTGAGATAAAATAGACAAACTAAAACCTTGCCACTTATACATTCATTTTGCATCACACCAGTCAAATTATAATATTACTAATAAGGAGAGTACGTATTACGGCCCACGTACCTGCCAGCATAATCACGAATTGAATTTATACTGGAGGTTTGTATATATTTTCTACACTTGAACCATAACACTTGAACATATCGTATATCAAACATGACTGAATACAAATGGCAACAGGTCAATAAAGATATTTAAAGGAGCTAAGTCGCTAATAATTGGGACCTAGAAATTGACACAAATGGGTTGCGCAACGCATACAATAATGTAATATGAATTTATATAAATTGATTTACATTCAATCGTTTCTTTTTTACTGTAATTTCTAATCAGTTAGGTTCGGCGACATACGCCAGTATTTTCAATCGAATGTCAATCTCTAGCGTCTGGTTATTCCAATCTACGCCGATAGTATTTATTGGGCATGCTCTCCAGATAAAAATATAGCGTCACCATTTGACATGACTTGTGAAATATGCCTAACCTCGTTTTTAGAGTCCCTTATTACAAATAGCACTGAAACGCATTATGGTACACGATTCATGTACCAATTGTAAAATGTTTATTTTGTCTTAAATATTGGATATCAGAAGGCCATCTTTTTCCGGTAATATTACAACATCAATGTTGATTTAAATCGACAAATAAATCGTGTTTTCAATGTCGAAGATTTTGGATGATATTGAGTTAGAGACTTAGCTACTAAGCAGACGAAATTTGAGTATTGACTGAAAACGAATGGAAACGACTTCTTAAACTGGTGCTATCGTATAAAATGACATAAAAGATATGCTTCTTTTTTTTTAATTCCTAAATATAAATAAACTACTTTCAGAAGTGCTGGATACAGATGAACTCATTTTTGTGAGACTAAAGATATTCTTTTTCGACGGATTTAAAATCCGGCTAAAAATATTTTTTCTCATATAGGTCACCATTTTACGATCACGTGACAAAATACAAATCACGTGACGATGACTCGGAATATTAGTAAATAGCCTAGGATCTAGGAATTCGATGAATGTTTCAAGCGAAATAACCTTTAAATTATATACATCCTTACTTTTTGATAGACAAAACAACCAAAAATTATATCTAGATTATTAAATAAATTGTTTATTTCTAATTTCGTTTCGGTAATGATAGACTTCAACATCCAGATAAATCAATTTCCGGTTGTATGACTACTGGTCACAAAAGACTAGAACAGAAGGTGTGTCTGTTTACCTTTTTTTGCTTCTCCAAATTAGTGTGAAAAAAAAGAGAAAAGACAGAAAGGTATATGCACATAATTTATTCTGACTGTTTGTTCTTAGTATTACTAGTTAGTGTTGAATAATTAAACTTAAGGGCGTGGGCATTAAATGTCAAATTTCTTCACTCATGAAGCTGCGGTGGCTCAGTGAGTAAGACTCTGCCTCGCTATAGCCAGGAGGTTTTGTGTTTCCTCATGGTGTTGACCGAGGATATTTCCAGAGTGGTTTCCCCTTGTCGAGGGCCTGATAAGGACGTACAGCTGTATAGTCATTTGCATGGGACGGAAAACCGACTTTCCGAGGTCCCATAGGCTACAGATGATCGAGCCTGCGCGTAAAAGCTCACTGGACGGTTAGAACTCTAAAAAGACTGGGCTGTAGCGCCGCTCGCCGTGCAGAAAAGTATGACGTCAAACCCCATTTCATTTCATTTCTTCACTCATTCTTTAATAGGCTTACAGTAGATGTTTTACTTAGCGGCTTTCATCATTCTGTTATTTTCTCCAAATAAGGATTAGTTGATTACATATCATTTTACAGTTTTGTTTTGTATTACATTTTAACACAGCACTGTAATATAACCTACTTTCTATCTTTGCCTTGTTCAGCTGGTGACATTTCAACCCAAATATAACCCAAAACCCTCTGCTTTTCTTATGCATTGTAATGTGGTCATTACGGCCATCAACCATAATGGCCAAAATTCACTTTGGTCAGATAGTGGGCCAGATTGCAATATCGCACAAAGAAATTTAATGCTGATATTATTTCAGGTAAAGTCAAAATGAGTAATTATACAATGGATACAAGTAATCCTGATGATGATCATGGACCTGCTCCAGCACCTTTAGATCTTGGACGACTTGAAGCAGAGGCAAGGACAGCAGCTGCAAAACATGTAGCTAATTTACTTCAGGTAGATCATTGAACTATATGACATACATATAGCCATTACATTACAAAACCTTAATTCTACAGAGGAGGAAATATAACTATGTCAAACCTTAATGATACAATGTTTGTGAAATGCTCTCTTGGGTTTCCTCCCTACTTGTGAGTTAGTTGCATTTTGAAAGTAGCCTTTATTAGACCGGAGGCTCAGCGCGGAGGGGTGTCCATCAAATGGGCACAAAACCAGACCCAACTTTTCTAGAGTAAAATTTTGCGTAGAATATGATGCCGATTGCCGAGTGGTAATCAGTCCGCCGTTGGGGCGTTTTTGAGATATTCGGGGTCAAAGGTCAAATGAGTTCATTTGCACTGAAAGTGAATGCGCAGTCATTCTTGTATTATGAAAAGAAGCTGAAAATGATCGAAAGTAATCACACTTTCAATAAAAATGTAAATTTGCAAAGTTCATCTTTAGTCTTAGTGACCCTGGAGGTCAAAAGGTGAAATTTACCGTTTTTGCACTTGGAAGATTTAAAGCAATAAAATGTCAATGTAAAATATAAAAACTAAAGCGAAACCTGTTCTAATTAATAATAGGAACATTTCAAATTTATCTTTAGGTTGTCTTAGCACCGAACTTTTACTTTGGAACGTTGAAATTGATCTTGCATAACAGAACCAACACACTTTGAAACCTGTTTCAAAAATACGTAAAAACTGTCAAATCGAAATCTCTCCGATTTATTTTCACAACGATTGTTATACATAATGATACCAGTTATCTGAAAAACAATTGAATAGTTTCAGTGTTGGACTCCAGCCTGCAGGCCGCGTGGATTTCTGAGAATCCCAGTCTAGGAAAACCGACGTTAATCTGTGACGGTAAAACATGCATCTGACGACGAGATTAAAAGTTTGCAAACTTTTTATGAGTTTTTATGAATTTCGCCGGAACATGGACGCAGATAAAACCGACGAATGCATTGTACATAGTAGTTCACAGGATATATATGTCGTATTGGTAAATGTTAGCGGGGAAAATTTTGGCAGGCTTTGTGACGCGGCCTGCAGGCTGGAGTCCAGCCATGGAACTATTTAATTGTTTTTTTCAGACAACTAGTATCATCATGTATAACATTCGTTGTAAAACTAATTCGGAGAGATTTTGATTTAACAGTTTATTTTTTTGAAACAGGCTCCGAAGCGTTTCGGTTCTGTTATGCAAGATCATTTTCGACGTTCCAAAATAAAAGTTTGGTGCTAAGACCACCTAAAGATAAATTTTAAATGTTCCTATTATTAATTAGAACAGGTTTCGCTTTAGTTTTTATATATTTAGGCCGACATTTATTACTTTAAATCTTCCTAGTGTTAAAACGGAAAATGTGACCTTTTGACCTCTGGGGTCACAAACAACAAAGGTGAATTTAGCAAGTTTACATTTTTGTTGAAAGTGTGATTACTTTCGATCATTTTCAGCTTATTTTCACGATACAAGAATGGCCGCGCATTCACTTTCAGTGCAAATGAACCCATTTGACCGTTGACCCCGAATATCTTGAAAACGCCCCAACGGCGGACTGATTACCACTCGGCATCGTATTCTACGCAAAATTTTACTCTAGAAAAGTTGGGTCTGGTTTTGTGCCCATTTGATGGACACCCACCCGCGCTGAGCCTCCAGACTATATCTGTTGATGTGTGGGACTGTACAGCATAGTGAACACTTTCAGTCGGTTCCCATTAACTGAAATTGATAGTATTTTTATTATTTGTGTTGCTTTGTTTGTATCTGATTGTTATGTGTGGTACAGTTCTTCTGAACTTACTATTTGGGTTTAAGAGCAGTACAATTAGCTTTGTTTTGTTTTTTTACTCTCTTAGAGGCCTGAGCAGTTAGAAAAATGTGACCAGTATAAACGAAGAGTAGCAAGGAAAAAGGTAAAATTACCTAAGAGAAGGATTCCTTTGTCAACATGAACTGTTATTATATTATGATTTGCACGCAAGAAAATTGTATTTATGATTCCATTTTGAATGAATTTTGCGTAAATAATTGTCTAGAAATTTGTCATTACTATTTCCAACAGCTTCTACTCACTGTATATGTTACACTAAAACTGTAAATTAGTTACAATCTTATTAAATTATATCAGGCATCTGTAGAAGCCATGTTAAAGACTGCAGTTCAATCGCAACTAGATGGTGTGAGAACTGGATTAAATCAACTACAAAGTGCCCTTATGGACGTCTACGAAATCAAACAAAGGTAATGCTTGTTTTAAAGAACATCCAAACCAAAATATTTATAGGGTACTTATTGGCAATAAAAATATGGCATATTAATTGGTATATACAGAAAGCAGAAACACTCAAAATACTGTATTCCCTGAAAAACACTCATGGGATGTTCACATGACAAAAATATAACTGGCAGCATGTCTCCTCGAGTGATGTAGTGAGGGCTTCTTATATGTTAATTTAATGGCTAACGGTTGTGAGAACACTGAGAGACTTAAATGCTCATTTATGGTAAATGGACAGCCACTAATGGCAATGAAACTGGATTCATTAGTAATATGATTACTAACTGCAAATGATTGCTAAATAAAGAATAGTCTCTTTCCACAAATCACAAACTGTATTCTTTTCTAGCCTACATTATTATGTCATATGAATTGCTTGAATAGGTTAGTAAATTATAGTTGGATATTAGAAGTATCCGTATATGGTTGACCAGTCTAGTTACCTGCCTGAAGTTTGTGACAAAGGATAATATTTGTAAAGAAGAAGTTATAATTTGTACTGCTACAATTTATGCTGCTACAAGTTGTCATTTTGTTTCAGTTTGGATCAGATGGAAGATACATATAAATCTGTTCAACCATTACATGCTAAATTACGAGATCTTAAAACAGAGAACACTAACTTTTGTCAGGTAATTTTATAATTCATTCTTATAAAAAGATTTTTTTCACAGTGATGATTCAGGAAAGGGCAAGGAAATTATGGTTTAATGTCGAACTCAACAACCAAGGCATATCATTAGATTAATTTTCAACAAATCCATGCATAGGGAACATCCCAGGGATCTGTGGCACAGTGCCACTATTATTGTTCACTGACAACTCACTGCTAGATTCAAATCTCACATCACAGTTCTTTTGGGTGAGAAGAAAACTGAGCCATTGGAAATACATTGAAGTTACATTTTGAATTATAAATTTTGTTTTTTAAAGCTTGCTGCTGCCCAGGAAAACATTAATCATATATTTACTGTACCAGAGAGTGTTAAAAGAACAAGAGATCTTATAACAGAAGGAAAACTTCTACAATCTCATAAGTAGTAAGTTTTAGATTATTGGGATGTTGGGTCTCATGCATGAGACAGGATGTACATACACTTTCTAACATGCAGAGCTATAGTTTATTTTGAAAATTCAAAACAATGTTGATTGAAGTCAGTGTCCATAATCAATTTTGTCTAAATCATTTTTTAAGTACTCCCAAAATGTCAATCTAACAGGTCTGTGCATGGAGGAATAATTGTTTGACATCATAAACCATATGTTTAGTTTAAGCATCAATTTTCTTTTGATTATGAATTTTGGAGGAAAGTAATTTGCCCTATGAAATATCTATTTACATTACATTCTTTTATTATATATATATTCACAGTTTAACAGATCTAGAAATGTCCCGTGATGATTTGTTATTAGAACTACACAAACAACCACAGAAAAGCCCAACAGATAATAATGTAAGTAAAAACATATCTTACTCAAGGTTCATTTATTTATTGCCAAAGACTTCGTATTTTTGTAGTTTCTAAACATTCAAAGAATGGTGAAATATTTTTTGCTAAATCTGGAATTGATAAAATATGAAAAATAAATATCCGGCTTGCAAAATTTGAAGTAATAACTTGGGTGCCAGACACAATTGTAACAACAAAAACAATGTTGATGCTCTAAATATAGAAACCTTATAGTTTTTACATTACGGTGAAATGTGGTTTTATCGACTCATGTCCACCAAGCGCATCATTCTGTTTAGAAGACATTGGCGTTGTGCCCTGAAACTGGGTTGTATTTAAATATGCCATTAACATATATTTTTTTTTTTTTTCAGACATTAAAGAATTATTTTGTTGATGTTGAGAAATTGTCATGTGATTTAGGTAAACAGTTATGGATTATATTACAGAGAGTTTTACTATCAGTGAGACGTGAACCAACTTTAATTGTTACTGCTCTTAGAATTATAGAAAGAGAAGAAAGGTTCGTAAGAAAGAGAAATCTTTCATTCTGATAAAAATACAGATCTAAATTTCATTGCATAATATTTTATACTTTCAATAGCATCCACTCCGTGCCGATCTTTTGCAAGGGAAGTCACATTAGGGGTGATATAGGTTAACTTTGAATGAATGGTGTAGACTATTATGTTTAGGCGGGTGGGGAGCCGAATTGTTAGCGCATGCATGCTCTATCATAAGGTCTATCATTGAGTCAAATGGTGTGGTTTCGATTCCCCGTTTGTACGTGACAAGGAGTAGGGTTTCCTGTCCAACCTCGTGGGTATTCTCTGGGTCCTTCGGTTTCCTTCCACTTCTAAAGACCCCTATGCGAAAGCGAATTATTGAAATAAAATTGAACCATATGTTAGTCCCGAAATGACCTAGTTTGTGTCCAGAGGATGTTACCTCTCTTTCTCTCTCTCTCCCTCTCTCTCTTTCTCTCTCTGTGTTATGTTTAACTTGTGTTTTGTTCTTTGCTTCTATGTAGATGTCTGGATAGATATCTACCATAATTCTATGTACACCTCGCACATAGCTTGACTAAACAGACTACTTCATTGGCTAATCTCTCATATCAAACAGAACATGATTTATTTTAAAACTGCACATCATACTGTAATGTCAAATAAAACGAAATTTGAGATGGTTATAATGAAACAAAACAGATCTGTGTAAAAAATATATTTTCCAAGGTTTTTTGTCTGTGTATTCCAACAGATGGCTATGTATTTGTGATTGCAACTGTCAAGGTAAAATATCTTTAAATCATTCCAAATATTATGTTTTTCAGATTAGATCAGGCATGGATTAAAAAACAAGTACAGACAGGGTTCTCCCCCCCTGGTAGACCAAAAAAATGGCGGTCCAGAGGATTTAAAATATTAGAGCAATCTATAGCTGCCAGGTAGGGTTAATGTGAAATTCTATTAGAATAATGGTAAAATACTCAAAATCTTTATTGCCAGTCTCTGTCTCTTGATTTCAATTCTGTCAATTCAGATTGTTCCGAAAATTTAATCGAACAGCCCTTAAGCTTTCCAATATATGAATAATAATGTTTACCATTGGTGTTGTTTATTGTAGAATTGAAGGATCACAGTTGGAAGATAGAGAATCTAATAAAATGTGGTTAGTTCGACATCTAGAAATAACTCGACAGTTGATGATAGATGATTTAAAGGTGGTGAAGACATTATTACCTCCCCTGTTTCCACCCGAATACGATATAGTTAAACGTTATACAAAGATGTACCATACAGCTTTATCTACACATGTACGTATAATAATAACTATGTTTCTTTTATACATATTTGATAGTAATTCTTTATAAAATGAGGTATGAGGATTACATTTTGTTTAGTCGATCTAATACTGTCGATTAATAAAGTTTGAAAACACATATTTAAAAAGAAGTTTTAGCATCTACAATGTGCTATTGCCCCTTCAATGCCCTATCAACACTTTACAAATAGCAGATTGAGACTACCAAAGCCATATTTTTATATGAAAGTACTATAAGACTTTGGGGTTCATTATTTTGGCGTAATTTGATTTTCTATGATATCAATTTTGTAATGGATTCTATATAATTTATTTCAGTTAATAGAATTGATAACACAGGAATTAGAAGGCAATGAGATAGTATCTTTATTACAATGGGTTAATGCTTATGAGTAAGTTGAGTTCATTTTTCACATTTGACATGTTATAAATATATGTAAAAGCATTGATTTGCAACTGACAATGTCTATGACAGATGTATTATTTCTAGTTTTGTCTGTGTCACATTTATAAAATGTATTTCAATTGTTTTTCAGTTCACCAGAGTTAATGCGACATCCTGAGTTAAATATAGATATAAAAGAAATGGAATTAGGACCATTATTAGAACCTAAATATATCACACAGTTAGAACAACAGTATGTATTTATATATATATATAGCACAGTGATGTTGTTTCAAAATTTTGGGGTTAATAGAGACCAGAATTAGGTCACCAGAAGTTGTTGTCAGCTTCAAGAAACCATATTCCTGAAGCAATAGCCCAAGAAATCCCTCTTTAACCATTGCTGTATTGAGTCTGAAAACTTCATTCTTTGACGGATCGTGACCATTCTCATCGTCCAATCAAATCTCTCTTGAGTAAAATATAGGGAATTTTCATGACCTAACCGGGATGATCTCTTTAAAAAAATCCTAGTGTTTGTTAGTGCTTATTTTACCCATGGATGCATTGGGAACAAACATCGATACTCGCATAGGTAAATTTGGCCGTCGCTGAAACTCGCTATTGGAACGAAAATTCTTTGACTTAAATCTCCCATATAAATTCTATAAAGGTGTACCAATTATTACTGCCTAGCTTTAAATATTCGATAATATTTATCCATTTTTGTGAAGAAAATCCATGAATTATTTATTTTATTAAAAAAGCACATGTCGTATTTCTATCCTGTTTGTTGAAACACAATACGTAACATAACAGCCCTTCTCTTTGATCTGCAGTGTGGTCCAAGAAATGATAAAAAGATTCCACATGCGCAGCTATTACCAAAATATTTAATGTTTACCTCGTTTATCATAAAATTAGTTTCTCTGAAATATTCTGTTACAGACTTGTTAATTGAGCGTAATACATTTCGCGCATTCTGACGTAATGTAGCCGCGTTTGTCACCTGACACTTTACGGTAACATATTAAGAGCTCTGGCTGATTCCGATTAATTTTGTTATGTCATTATGTACTGGTTGTTGATCGGACTCATTAACCAGTCATAAATTGGGACAGAAATTTGTGCTGAGTATGGCAGTGTTTGAGTGGGATTAGGTCTAATCAAACGAAACGAAACACTGCGAGGAGTATGCAGGGAATGGGGTCAATAGTTTTCCATTCCCTTTAATAGACTTCAACTACAATTATTATAATATATATCTCAGTTTATGTGGATTGTGTGCTGGAGGCTTTAGTATAATGTATTGGTTTAGGGGTGTGGGGTAAACTGATACACTTTTATGTACGGTATCTAGTTTTGCTTAGTTATAGCCTAATCAAAATAGATAATATAATCCTGTGAGCGAAGATAACTAATCAGAAATACTAAATTAACATAGTAAGGGTAGCAATGGTTAATCAGCTAATACTGCTCATAGCCATTGCTTCAGAAATGTAAGCTTGCTACAACCCCAGTTTTAAATCATGTTATTTTATAATATCTCCAGATATTTACAGAATATGAAACAGAATGTAGCTGAATGGTCTAGTAATAGTTTAAGATCTGATTTAAAGGTAAGTGTCCTTCATTCATATTATACCAGGGAGGCTATTTCAAAATTTTGCACGTCAGACATTTTTAGTTGGGGTTAACTAACAGAGTCCAGAATCACCAGAAATCGTAGTCACTTCAGGAAATTAGGTTAATAAACTTCCATTCCCTTTAATGGACTTTGACTAGAAATACGTTTTATGTTATATAGCATATGGTGTTCTGAATAATGTTTATGATTACTACAAAAAATTTGGTGGTCCTCGCTATTTTTCATATCTAATTCCTCTACCGTCTTGAATATTCTTTAATAATTACCTGTCTTCATTTGTTCGATAGAAAACGAAATTGAGATATTCGTGATAAGAATAATTCATGATATCTACACACCATTTTCTTCTTTATAAAATGGTATTTTGAAATTACATTGGTAATTTGATTACTTGTAAAAAAGGCATAGCTAACATTGGCATATTATCATGTCTGTTATTGGTTTACGTTTATTTTGCACCAAAATCAACCAAGATCATGGGAAAGTGTCACTGTAGATAAAGGTGTTTATTAATAGCTAATAATAAGCAGCTATTCGGATGGATACATTTTGCGTGTATGTACAGAATATTTGTGTGATTAATGGTCACGATCGACATTGGCAAATAATTTTATGAATAATTATCGAGCTTGCATATTTACAGAATTATCAAAATATCCATGTGTACTGATTACTTGGATCGTGAACTCAATGACTGTAAAAGGTTGAGTCACAAATTGATTGACTTATTGATCAACAAGTATTAATTTTTATACGCCCACATTTTTATATGTATGTATATTGTTGTCGCTCCTGTCCGTCGCTCCTGTCCACCCGTCCACAATTTGTTTGTGGACACTCTACAGGTCACGATTTTGACTAAACTTGAAATATAAGTTTATCTCCCAAAGATCTTGGTTTCTTTCGATATTGGCATGTATCGGACTGTAACTTCATGGATTATGGTCCCTGATTGTACGAAAAATCATGTTTTTAGCTTGTAGACACTCTAGAAGTCACAATTTTTATCCGATTTTGATAAAACTTGAAATATGTGTGTATAACCCAACGATCTTGGCTCCTTTTGATAGTCTTGCATATCGGACCGTAACTTCTTGGATTATGGCCCCTAATTGAACGAAAAATCGCGTTTTTAGCATGTGATCCATCTAGAGGTCATAATTTCTATTTGATTTAAAGAAACGTTTAAATATATCACCATTACACCATTATGATGGTTGAGTTCAAATTTTTTGAAAATCTGACTGAAACTGGTGGACAAAATGGGCGCTCCCTGTACGCAACTATCCTTTCGATATTCACGCATAACGGACTGTAAATTCCTGGATTATGGCCCCTGATTGTACAAAAAAATCTCAGGGTGTTTTTTAGCTTGTTCTCTTTCCATCTCTTGCAAAAAGTGGGTGTATCTTGCCTGGCAACCGCTGGTTGATTAGTTTAAACATCTCACTCAGTGATTAAAATGTCTGACAAAGGAGAAACCATTTATTGTTTTCAAGTTTAAGATATAAAGGAAATCATGTAAATAAGTAGGGTGACCCACCATAAATAAATATCTCCATATATCTCCTTATATCTCGACAATTACGCCACAATATTTATATATATGCCAAGCCTCAAATCAGTTTCACACAATTATAGTCACTAAATAAACGATCATGTTGTACTTAATAAGCTATGACCATTAATCATCTATAAATAATAGACTGAAAACTGGTTCCAAGTGTCGTCCATTACATCCAGACACTTTTGAGTAAAAGATAGGTTACGTGCCCTTGTTTTGAAATTAGTCTCGCTTAACCAGTCTATCGACCATTCTACGTCTGATTGACAGGTCGGGATAATCAAGACTACTTTTTTACGAAACATAACAGAAAGCTAGAACAAGAAATTGAATTTAGAAATAAGCACGTTAGGTAGCTCAACAATCGTTTTAAGAACCTTGTAAAAGTAAAATGAAACTACTGCAAGTATCATGTTCCTGTCTAATCCGAGTGATTCAGAGATATTATTTGTACTAAACCAAAAGATGCCGCTCTTAACGGTACAGTTAATGATAAAGCGATTTAAAAAATGAAACGAACGTAATTTCTAAATCTGCTGTAATAACCAAGAAGCTTAATTTCACTGCTATTCAAAATCGTCAATAATAAATTTTTTACGGCTGTAATAGTTGATAGATTTGTAGAGAATTGCACGTGCCATGGCTATTTATAGTATCATATTGTCAGAAAGTTGGTCTCGGCACGGCGAATGTGTACGCTTCAGTGGTAGTCTCGAACTATCAGCGGTGGACTTTATTTCTGTAGAGCACATGGGCCACCCTAAAATAAGGTCAATCAAGGCAGATTAAGTACTAGTAATAGTTATACCCTCAGTACAGCCAATATTTTGTGAAATTTTGAAATATGATTCACCATATCTTGATGACTGATTGGGCATATTTCCGGTCGGTCGGTCGGACGTTTGCCAACTCATTCAGGAATTGTCTGGCATATACGGGTGAATCATCATCCGTGTACTATACACACTATGTGGGAAATTCTGCCCGAGCAACAATGCTATGGCCTACTCTTATTACGATGTAATGTATTTGTTTATGTTTGTAGGATTGGAATAGAGATGTAATGCCGGATGTTAATGCTGAAGATCATTACAATACATCACTTCCTGTTATACTCTTTCAAATGATGGAACAAAATGTATGTTGGTTTTATTTCTAATAAATACTGCAAAATAAGAAATTAATGCAAATAGATCTATAGTGATTGACTATGGTTTAATGTTTTGGAAGCAGGCGGCAAATGTTTGTACAAAGGCCAAGAAAAGGTCTCTGGACAGCTCATAGTCGACTGATGCTGAAAATGGCGTAGTGTACCCATCCTCAAGGTCAGCAAGATCCAATGACGCAAGAAATCAGATTTTCTCTTGCAAATAATAAGTAGTGGTTATCTATAGATTTTACTTGAAACCTCAAATTTTAAATACAATGTATTCCATTAATTTTCTATTTCCAGCTTCAAGTAGCTCAGATAATAGATCAAGATTTAGTGAAGAAAGTATTAGAATTATTTGTAGATGAACTCAACACATTTGCTGTAGATTACTCTAGTAAGCCTATCTACTGTACAATTTAAGTAACTTTATTGCAATACATGAGTATTTTATTTGAAGTATACATTAGTTTCTCCCAATTTAATTTCTCTTTAAATGAGTTGCATGTTACAATAAAAGGCGAATAAAGCATCCCATTTGAAGTTAAAATTAGTTCCTGCCAATTAGAGAATCCTTGAAATATTTTCTATGCAAAACCAATCCAATATTTTACTTTATACTCAAATTATTATACTTAATTAGATGATAATTGCAGTTTTTATACGCCCACATTTTTAGGGGATATACATTAAACATGCATTATGCAAGAGCTAAATCTGATTATTGCAAGTCTTAATTTAGGCTTCAGATGTTATAGAAATTATAAATTAGATCTTTATTTAAACAACAAGACCAAAATCAACTCTGTAGACCCACGGATGGCTCGGCTACAGCTTGGATTTAAATAGGATTTCACTAATTGATTAAATCAAATAAGGGGTAACCTGATGAAAATACGTCAGTTAGATCGAGGCTACCGCTTGTCAAATATTTGTTAATTTATTTATTGACTGAGTAATTATTTGGTTTGTTGTATTTCGATTGTAAAGTATTATTTGTATTATTGTAGATATAATACGTAATTATCGAGATAAACATGCTACTACCAGAGGAGAACCTAAATACTTTTTAAACTATATGGTGAGTGTTTCTAGTTCTCAGTTTGGATGTGTATTTTCTGTTAGTTTTGCATGATATTTTGGCGCTTCTTTCTAATAGTAAGTGCAGGAAGACTTACAAGATCAACATGCGGGCAAGACAAACTACATAGACAAACAAATATCAAACCAAGTGAATGGATCCGGGGGCCAGCTGCAAGTGTCCACTGCGCTGTACAGTCCCGGATGTAGGTTTTTGTGTGGGTGCAGTAATTTATGGATTGGAAGTTAATACAGATGCATTTTATGATAAAGGACTGATTTGTAGTTTTAGAACGCATGCAATGTTCTGATTTGTAATCCATGCATAGAAGTACAGTTCAAATAGATTTCTGTATCAACCATAACAGTCTTAACTGGTACATTTACACAACTTTGTGGAAATGTGATATTTTGATAATTATTAATATGAAAAAAGTTATTGGCAAGGATCAAATCAACATAGTTTATATTTTGTTTGTTTTGTATTTTACAATATATTTATATTTACAGATAGCTAATGCTAACAATAACCAGGTATTTGGTGATTATATGAAACAGTTACGTAAAAGATATTTAAAGAATGAGTATGATGATGATGATGTTGAAGATGAGAGTGATATTAGAAGAGATAGATTTCAACAATTAACTGATACCTTTACAGTCATATCAACCAAATGGTTAGTTTGTACTTGTACTAGAATGATGAATTATTAAATCAATGTATCACCATTATATGTACTTGTACTAGAATGATGAATTATTAAATCAATGTATCAGTATTGTATGTACTTGTACTAGAATGATTGTATGTACCCATACTGAATTACTGAATTGATGAATTACGGTATTAAATCAGCATTCACCTTTCAACAATAAACTGTATTGAATCATGATGCTCAAATCGCAATACATGTCACTTCTGTTCTGTTATGAATTATTCTCTAAACTTGATAGATTTTTGGTGGTTCTCAAGGAATCAGAAGGCTTTGAATGCTCCTAGTATGGGTATATTATTGGGTTATGTACATATGTACACACCAAACAGAATACTCTGTGAAGCCACTTTACATCTTCACATGCATTTGAAATATTTATCTATATGATTTTACATTTTATTTTTTGTATATATGAGATTGATCATGTTTGGAAAGTGTCGGGAAGCAGCTCACTGTAACCATGGTGATGATGCTGTAATACTTTGATAGTTGATAGTTGAACATTGACATCATTATTATATTGAGTTCTCATAAGAGTTATTATGTAAATCTTGCAATATGAATATTGTTATTTCAGTTGCAGTATGATTTTAGAAGAATTTTTTATAGATCTGAGAAACAGTAATTGTTTTAATGAATTATTAACAAGAAACTGGTGAGTCTGTGTTATATCTTCAGACAATGAGGAATCAAGGCAATTAACCCTAAATGATGTATTTGCTTTTCATGTGATTTCAAGTTCAGGATATTCAAACATATATATAATTCAACAAAAGCTTGCGGTGTAGAACTGTAACTCAATCAAAAAAAAGAAAGAAATGAGATCCGTTTCCAAAATCTTCATTAATATTTGCTTAAATTTGGACATTAAACTAAGTGGATCATATAACTATGTTCTTTGAAACCCAGTATTTAGTACATTGGTTGTTTAATGTCTGCTTGTTTAGTTGTTATCTCATTTCATAGTTGTGAAACTGCAGTAATTATCAATACTGGTAGGTTTTGTTGATATAGCAATTATTTCTCTTTCAGGATGTCTAAGACTGATTCTATTGATACCGTGTGTGAAACATGGATGGATTATAATAGTGATTTTAAACATCTCAAACCTGCAGCATTTGATATGGTGGTCGAGTTGGGACAAAAACGTATATTGAAGGAGTATCTTAGAGCTCTGTTGGCAAAGTATGTATCTTGATCTAACCAGTGAAAATAGAATAATTATCTGTTCAACTTCAAAATCTACAGTCAAAGAAGCATTTACATGTATTTGTCATAGATTAAGAAGGAACATGCAGATTTTCAGAGCATCAAATAAGATCTTAGTACATGGTCTAGTATACCCTCCCATTAACACTGCGATGCTGACCATCAGCATCAATCCACATAAAAAATATTCAATTTATTTTATACACAAACATAATTGTGTGGCCCTCGCTTCAGCACACCTGGCAACCCCCTTAATTCTTAAGATGAAGATACTTGTTATAGAATATGAAATCTATCCAAATTAAAAGTGTAATTAGCCCCAAAATGTTTGACAAAGGTTTTCCTGAAAACCACAGAAGTGTATTTTTGCTGACTTTCTCCGTTTCAAACTTTCTAGAAAACTTTCCTTTAAAAATTATGACGAGCGTCGGAATTCAGCTGATAAAATCATGAGAGAGGGAGAACAGATGAAGAAGTTGTTCAGAGAAATGGCACCAAGATCTGTAAGTATTGGTAATACATTGTTCTGCACATAAAAACTTAACAGTTGAAAATTGAACAATATTATTTATTTATTTATTTATTTATTTATTTATTTATTATTCTAAGAAACAGATACATTCATGACAAATATACAAAATGATTGAGTCATAATATCTCATGAATAATCTGCTTCTTATGGATAATCCATGAAAACCACCAAAAATTACACAATGTACACAGCTTTATTTCCAATTTGACATGAGGCTTAGAAATTTGAGCATATCTCTGAATATGAGCGATGGGATATTTTGTCACAGGTCGATACATCTTCTCTCTGGAATATTCTTGTTAAATATTTGCCTAATTGGCAAAATGCAAAAAATATAACTGACCCATGTTTCAATAAAAAATCAATGTCAACTGATTTCTCTTTTTATAATCTGGGAAGTCTTGGGCAAATTTTTGTACAATGTATAATGTTTGAATAATTATATAAAAAATGTTTAACTGTTTAGAATACCTCGATGTGGGATCTGTTAACAAGTGTAGCAGAATATCTCAAGTTAAAAGATACATCTTTGTTATCACTGGAAATTATGGTAGGTTAATCTTTTTATATACTAACATTTAAATGTGGGTCGTATATTGCTGCCAACCTGTCCATCAATCTGTCGTTCACATCTCTTTATAAAAGCAAGTACACTAAAAGTCACATTAATCATTTTGAATTTGATATGGGTTGTCTATCTCATTGCAATGAAGAAGCCTGCAGAATAATTGACATGGGACCCTGTTTCTCAATAAGTTGTGACAGTAAAATGACACGTACCTCATACTTGTGCTCTATTGAAGTAGTCTGGATCACACTTGTTGGCAGAGATGGGGTGGCATGAGGGGTGTGAGTGTGACAGTTTAAAATGGATTCTGTCAAACTAAAGACTGAATGTTGCTATTATGATGTCATATGGTGGTAGTTTCACATCAAACCTTAATCATTGACAAAAATTGATGTTTGTGACATGTCCAATATTTTTTTTTGAAAATTACATGGTTATTCTTCCTCTAGAAATTAATCACAACATTGCTTACCTTTAATGTAAAATTGGGTGTTACATGTATATTATATATTTGTTTTATATGTAAAAGCTACAAGCAAGTCGGTTAAATTTAAGAATTAATATTTTTCAGGGTTTAGTAAAGAGATATCCTGATATAAGACAAGATCAGTTAATTAATCTACTGTTGTTAAGAGGTGATATGAAAAACTCTGATGCTAAACAAGTAAGAGCAATACATTTCTTATTAGAGTGTCTGTTGATAAATATACAGAGAGAGAGAGAGAAATGGGGTTAAACATCCACTCGACACAAACTAGGTCATTTTGGCACTAACACACGGTTCAGTTTTATTTCAATAATTCACTTACGCATAGAGGTCTTTAGCAGTGGGAGGAAACCGAAGGACCCGGAGAAAACACTTGAGGTTGGACGGGCGACCCTACTCTTTGTTACGTACATTGGAAGTGGGAGTGTGATCTTTAGAAGTCGTAGGAACGAAAAATCTTAAATAAACCTTGACATGGTTAGACAGGTTACTCTGTTCATTTTCACATTTAAACCTGTTATCATCCAACCCATACAGCACCATTCAACCCCACCTGTAATGACAATTATTTGACCTAATTGTTTTATTCCCAATTACATTAATTCTGATTATTTGCTGTGTCTGTCTCAATGTCACCTAATTATGTTAAACCTCATTCCATTCATTGTGATTGTTTACTGTGTTAGGTTTGCTCTTTAGTTATCTGAAAATGGACGAAAATTGAAAAATAATCATATTTAGAATACTCCTGTTTCCAGTCAGTATTTAGCAACCCATCCTTTCTACATATGGCTCAAAAGATAATTAATATTGCAAACTTGTCATCCTGACAGCTGACATCATGTGATCATATATAATGTACGATTTCCCGAGACTACAACGGCAATCAATATCAACTGTTATGGTATTGTCTTCCCATCTTCTCAGTCACAGAAATTTGACAGAGAATACAACAAAATATATTTAACTCCCAGGTTCAGATAGTGAATTTTTTGGACAATATCAAATTTTCCATGGCTTAATCCACACAGAATTGTACTCTTAATTGATTATTTAACTCTTAATTAAGAACACAGTTAAAGGTGTCATCTGGTGAAAAGGATGCCGACTGTTGCTAAATTTTCTATTCATCATATCTTTGAAAGAGTACTGATAGGAATTGAACTATTTATAGACATTTTTACCTTTTAGAGATTCAACATTCACAATATTGTAGTTTGTAGGGAATTAAAATCCCTCAAATGATGATCAATAACGTTAATAAATAAATAGAGAAGGAATAGTCTTTCTTAATCAGAGGCCAGGGGCCTGTTTCACGAAATTTTAACTAAGATTAAATCCAAATTTTAGTAATTTGATTGGATAATATTAGATTGATTTTAGTGCTTAGCCAATCAAAATTGAAGTATCTACTAAAATTTGGATTTTATCTTTAGTTAAGATTTCGTGAAACCGGGCCCTGGACTACCTTTGTCATTGACTTTATTATTAATATATTAACACAGTGTGTAAATAATATTATTTATATTTATTGTAGATGGCTGTTGATACTCTAGGTGATGAAGAAGGTGAAAAACCCAAAGGAATTTTTACGGACTTAGCTACATCCTAAATATACCAACTTTATAGAAGTATTAAAAATATTAGTGCTAATAGCATAGCTATAAATATGCTGAGACAATGAAAACGCACCACTTTTATAAATGGATGAATGTAATTCTGGTTTGAGAGATACACTTTAATCTGTTGATTCTGAATGTAACAACATCAGATCAAAATGATAACATGTGAGAATGATGTATTCATGGTAGCCTAACCACACCACAGATAAATTCTTTCAAACACAAAAAAATTAATTTGACAGAATGGGGATGTTTAATATCACATAACTTTATGATGCAGACATAGGATATGAAATGTGTCTTTAAAAAAGCTAGGGCCAGTACAACTCTTATATTTCTGTGGAAGATGCTATATGGTGTTTAACATTACTGTATCAATTGGGCTAATGAAGACAGCTGTCGAAGATGCAACAATATGCCAAGATTGTCATCTGAACATTGTGGTAATTCAAGCGGCATGATAACAGAGCCACTGGAAGCAGTATTGGAATGAGAGTGGAGAAGGATCCCACAAACAGCCATTCAGAGGCTCTCCTTCACTTGAGATGGCATGTGTGGTTGCTAGAAGTGGCAGTAGCATGTGCCTACAATTAACATTGTAAGGATGTTATGGCGGTATGGTTCTACTGTCGGTAAATGTCCAGCCTACAATCATGCCAAAAAATCCTATTTCACCAGCACTTCCAGTCAAATCAGTGTCAGTGGTATACAATGAAAAGTATGATATACTAAGTTTGCTACATAATGTCACTGTCTGTAGGTATGTGCTAGCTATTTTTGAAAGTGGCATTATCATTTGTTGATTTATTTTTAGAAGTCAAATACAACAGTGTGAAATCAAATTAATACTTTATAAATTGACTAATGCCATTTTTAATTTTGGTCACAATATATAATATCCCCCCCACCCCCCCAAAAAATGATATGTATTTATATAGGTAGGCCTATATCAGTTTACTTACATTGACTATATTAAATATATGCACCTCACATGCATGGGGCCCAATTTTGCCCAGGCCCCGATATATTCACCCAGGGCCCAAATCCTCCTGTGTCCCAAATTCATCCATGACCCAAATTCGATGGCCTAAAACATTTGCAGGGTCATGGTGGTTAATTTGATGCCACATAGATGGGGGTGGATTGCGGCGACGAAACACGATGGGTGAACATAATACACTTTGATTTTATATATATAATTCTATAATGTATAATAAAGGTGTATTAATTATGTTTGTAATGAGTATGCAATTGTATCTCGAACTAGCAGATGAGGGAAAACACAGCCTACAGAATAATTGTACCAAAACAGTAAACATCTAATGCCAATTAGTTATTTGGAAAGTTGACCATTTCAGTAGTATTTTGGTTTTAAATAATTTGTCTGGTTGTAGTGCTCATATCCATTTCTCTGAGATTACTTTATTCTACTAAGTGGCTTGGGCTGATGAAATTTGGGGCCAAATAGGTTTTTCTACTCATTTTAAAACACTATCATAATTTCATAATACTGGCAACAAACTATTTCTAATTATCGGGACCCAACAATGGCAATTTTGATGTCAAAGTAATAAATAAAAATAAACGAAAGATCTTTTATCAAAGAGTTGTCTCTCTTGGATCAGTCTGAAGTATTGGTAAATCGAAGCAAGTGTCGGCAGTCCCCAATTGAAACTCTGAGGAAAAACTACAATGGAAAGGGAGAGAGAGAAATGGGGTTTAACCGTCCACTCGACACAAACTATGTCATTTCGGGACTAACACATTATTCAATTTTATTTCAATAATTTGCTTGCGGGTAGGGGTCATTAGCAGTGGGATGAAACCGGAGGACCCGGATAAAACCCACGATGTTAGTAGACAGACGACTCTACTCCTTATCACGTACAACCGGGGAATCGAAACTATACCAGTTGACTCAATGACAGGCCTTATGATACAGCGTGCACGTGCTAGCCATTCGACCCCCCCCCCACCATGGAAAGGGGTATACACTGTTCCCTATAATATTTAATAGTAAGCATACTCAGCATTGTGGGCAACTGATCGCCGTTCAGTCACTTTCTCCCCCAAGTCAACAAAATCGATTACGTTTCAATCGGAACAAGGTCGGAGGGAAACCGGTACAGTCTAGGCCGCATAACCAGAGATGGATTTCAGGCCATTGCTTCAGGAATATGTGTAGTCAGCGACTTTGAAACTAGGTCGAAATGTCCACGTTGCCGACAAAACATTTACACAAAGAAAAGCGGCAAACGTAAGCCAGTGGGGAACACTGCACTTGCAGATAAAAAAAATTTGGAATCGAATGCTGGCATAGGTAGGCCTACTGGGTGCATTCTACGAATCTGACAAAGGTGATCTGTTTAGTTGCTCTTGGAGTACAAAAAATGAAAGCAATTGACGATGTATGTAAAGAAAGATCCCCATGTGGGCAAATAATTTGATACCTTTGAAATCATGACAGTGCCGTAATAATGTTTAATTTTTAAAACATAGCGACTCAGAACAGGATGATCAAATTAATTAAATATAATTATTTACTAGTCTGGTGTTGCTACATTCCTGATCTTCAATAAATTTGATGCTTTATTTGATGGTGCCATTAAGATTTTTAAATGCCGTATGACCTCTCGAATATTGGAGATGTCCACAAATTATAGCCTTTAGTACAAGCTATAAAAAAATAGAAAGAAAACAACCAACCACCGGTACAAACAATAATTTTTATTGAACAGAAAGTTGTAAACGATGAAAGAAACCCTGATATTTGTGACTGGATGTGTTTGTCTTATCTGTAGCGTCCAACATTTCTTTTTCAAAACAAACCCCTAACGGTATTATAGTTCCGGGAAGGTTCCCACGGCCATACTCTCAATACTGCATTCGTCCACCCCTCGACGAATACGGAAAAATCCGTTTTCACCCCATTTAGTACCCCAGCTGTTCTTAACGATCCAGTAGTTCTCCTTTGTCGATGGTTCCACACCATATCCTACTATCAGTACCACGTGATTGGTGATCTCCCAGGGGTTGAATGGATCTACTAAACCTGTATGGTGGTAAACGCCACTCTGAAATCACAAATTAGAAACATTTGATTGAATAAAAAAATGAGTCTGTAACATTTCTAAAATCGATCTGATATTTATACAAAGACAACATTATTTTCGTGACGCGTATGTTTGTTTTATTATCATTCTTTGGCCAGCTCAAATATTCGTTAGCTATTGTTTATCATCGCTGTCCGTAGTTCGTTAAAAACAAAAGGACCCAAACTCTTATAAAAGTAAGCTACTTACCTTGTAATGTTCAAAATCATTGTATACTTCAAAACTGATAGCAATGGGCCCATTCTTCACAAGTTCTATCCTCATCAAAGCTTCATTGCAAGCTCCGTAATACCCCCCAATATAGTAGTAATCTCTAGCGTAATATCGTTCACACGAGGTGGAGATACATTTATCATCTTTAGCGGTATATGGAAAACACGAATCTTCAATCAATCCAAAATCTTGAGCGTATTTTCCTGAAAAAGTAAATACAATAGTTACTACATTACACAATTGGGTCATTTCGGGACTGATATGTATATATTTATTTAACTGATTCGTATTCGCATAATGGTCTTTAGCAGTGATAATTCAACAGATAAATCACAAGTTTAGGCAGACCAGACAACTGTGATTTGAGAGGCAACAAAAAAATCGACCTACAAAGACAATAAGACCTTTCCGACCAATAAACCCCGATGAGCTTATAGGACCAGACAAACTGTCGGCTGCGTGCTGCTTTGCACGTTTTTCAACCCACCTGCTATCAAGTACGGAAAGCCGCCATCACATCCTTGAGAATATTCTGAGCAGCTAACGATATCTTGTGTAGAGAAAACTTTCTGGACCGTGTTGTTGGTGGCAATTCGTAGCCTAGCCTCATGAAGAGCCATTGAGCCAAACGCATAGCAGCTTCCACAAGCCTCTTGGTTACGAACAGGCGAAACAAAGTTGATACCATCTTTGTTTCTCCAGTCAAAGCTTTCTGGTAGACGTTCAGCAACTAGAAAAAAAAATTACTTAGAATAAGCCGGATTTCCGTTTCGAAGCTGCTACATAATACTAAATCGGTAAGCCTGGGGCTATATATAATTTTATAAGGGTTAAAATGGCGAAATCTCTTTGTCCTGGACCAAATATTAAATTGTCGATATTACTGGATGTTTTGTGGGATTAGACCCTGACTTTAATCAAACTAAAATTTGTAATCAAGCCAATATCCGCTTAATCCTTAAAAATCAGATCAAAGCATTTAAATAATTTATTATGACATACCTTTCTGTATCTCGGGTGTTACTGGGGATACTTTGGGGAAAGCTTTCGCTGACTTTCTTCCCCCAGCACGTCGCGTCATATCTTTTAGAGTGTACTGGCTATATTCTTTATACATTGTAGCCTTCCATGAAGATTGATGTTTGTTAATTTCTGGAAATAAATACGTGGCACAAATTAGAATTATATAATGTCAAATTAAACATGATGTGGCTGTAATTTGTTTACCAAAATGAAACATATAAAATGTATATTTTGCCCCAAATGTTTCTTTCCATTCCAACAGTTATTTTTTGGAAAAAGGTTAATGATTCCATTGCTCTTAATTCTTCTTACTTCTTCTTTCTTATATATTCCAATACATAACTTTGCCATATTTATCTTTTAATTGTGTATATTCCAGTTATTATGTATTTAGTATAATATAGAATACAATTTACCAATTTGCAATTCTCCAGCGTATATACCCATACAATCAATGTAAGAACATAAATGGTCCAGTATCGCAACCAACTTACTATTTATGTAATCCTCATTCATGGTATACTTTATTAAACTATCGTAGCGAAATCTCCTGGATATCTGGATTGTTTTATCTGTATCGTGTTTCTGTCCCGTGTAGCACGCCCAGTTCTTCTCATAGTCATCGTGGACCCATCCTGGGAAGGTCTGAGAGCACATGCTGGTGACGGTCTTACCACTCTGTTTGAACATGGAGAAGGCGAAGAATTTCATATAATTTATCCTAACTTCGAATCCTTGGTTGTAGATTAAGGTCCATCGTCCTTTGAAAATTCAAAATGAAAATTATATTAGATCATAGAATATAGCCGAAGAAAATTGTTTATCTGATGGAATAATTCATCATTTCGTATGAAGCAGTCGATGGAGTGGGTAGATGTCGAATTTGAATAACGTTGAATGCCAAAAATATTCACATTTTTATATTCTTCAAGCATGTTTTCCGACCCTACTCTATGGAAGATTGTGTCAAATATCAAGATGCCCTGATAAAAGCCAAACACACCCGAGGTACCGAGCTGACAATTGTGATCATCACTGACGATTTATGTAGAATCCACAACGGTCAACTCTGCGCTTCTAGTGTCAGGTTTTTCTATCCATTTTATATCCATGATAGTTATTTATTTTACCTTGTACTCCGTTTTGATCGACTGCTACATCAGGAAAATAGAGAGTGACGGTATATTCGCTGACGGGCTTCCATTCTGTAGAACAGTTGATGGTGTTATCACCTCCACCCTAGAAATTTAATAAGAGGTAAAATGAAATGAGGTTTAAATTCCTACTTCTCTGCACCGACTGGGCTAATGTACACGGGACCTCAGTTTTTTCTCCCACCCGAACGACTAGAAAGCTGTCCTTCCCAGGCCCTCCACGGAAATTTCATATTCGGGGATATGCCTGATATCAGACATCGTTTATTGGATAATTTCATTATATATATATAAATTTAATATAAAGTTCATTTCCCATTTACATCTATTAAAAGAATGAATACGTTGTTTATAGAACACATGCAAAACATATATAAGTAGTGATAATATATACTTTTATAGCTAGGTCGGTACTAAGTTGGTAAAGCTTGCATTGTGTACTCCCCGGTATATGCGGTGTTACCCGTTTTTTTCTGTTGGAACATTGTGCATTTGGACCCGAGCATCAGCTATCTACAGTATTTGGTTCCCTGTGTTAATAAGGAAGCTATTTTATATCTGCTTATCGCAAGAATTGAATTATCATGTTGCCTGTATAGTCTTGCTGAAGTATTCTATAAAACTTTGATTTGGAGGTGTTATTCACATATTAGATTAGTTTTTTTTGTCGGTTTAACTTATTGTTAGTTTTTTTTTAGGTCTGTTTAGTACTATACGCCTACCAATTTACTTGCAAAAAGGCATTATGATTATTATTAAATGATCATTTATATAGCGCACGCTTTCACAAAAATTTGTTCAGATGCGCCGTATAATATACATTACAACGAAAAAAAAAATTTAAATATGAAAAAAAAACCTCTATAAAATATAAACATACATTTAAGAATCTATAATAAAAATACTCTATAAAGTTGTCTAAATAAAAACATACAATTCAGAATCTATAATAATTTAAAAGACAGTATAGTTAAATATGAAATATGAAATACTAGAAGAAGTAAAAATAAATCTATAAATCAAAAGCTTGTCTAAATAAAAATGTTTTCAATTGTGATATAAAGCTCGATAAGGAAGTAGAACTTCCAAGGCCAAAGATTGAAACAACTTTATCAAGTTTGGACACTAAACCTTTTAATCCAAAAAGAACATATGCCGTCTTTTCCTCGTTCAGTTTGAGGACATGTTTTCCATCTATGTCTCTCTCTCTCTCTCTCTCTCTCTCAAGAAAGACAAGTTTGATAATATGGGTGTGTATAAAGCGTTTCGTAGACTGTTGATTTATGTAAAAAATCTCAAACTATTTCCACTGAGTGTATATATATTAGACCGGATGTCTAACGGTGTGTGTCAACGGTATATTATGTTTACAAATGATCTATAATATTAACGAGGTCATGTATGTTACTAAGTATACTGACTAGAATAATAGAAGCACCTTGCTGCATACCCGAGCGACACGTTTGTGTTAATCACTTTTAGTCCATTCGATAAGTATGTAATTAATTTACCTGTCCAATAGAAAAGGTCCACGTGCCCTTAATACTTTCATATGTACAATTGGCTGGAGTATCACACCAAACTGTTGCCACACCACAGACCAGAAATAAATATACGTAAAGTTGAACCATTGTGATCATATGGGAAAATGTTAGCGTGATTAACAACTCACTTGCTAAAATACGAACTCAACGCTAAAGCTATGAGTCAGTGAGGCGTAAATACGAACAGCGGAACTTTGTTGTTTGTACCTTTAAAGAAACATTCATAAATCTATTATGCGATGAGGAAGAAATTAATAAATTTTGATAGTAGAAACTTTGTTGTTATCACGTGAATTGAAACCGAAGGCGGGATATATCACATGATTCGTCTGCTCGTGATATTAATCTGATATTATCTGTCAACACACTATCATATTTGTATATCATAGCTTAATTATGTCATCCAGGTCATCCGATAAAAGGGATTTACACAATATTTAAGTTGAGGGGGTTGGGTCAGTTGGTTGGGGTGGTTGCAGTTTGTTGGTGTGAATGGTAGAAAACTCATGATAGCGCCACTAGAACGTTTTAATTTAAACGATGTTGCATGATGTGTTCTGCAGCGCGTTTAAATACATTATGAAAGATACAAGGTTAAGCCGCCTTTAGTTGTGCAAGCAAACATTTCCATAGACAGGCATATTCGAAGTCTGACTAGGTCTTACAGTTCGTGAGGCTTCCGAGCACTAAAACAATGGCAATCATCTCTAATCAGAATAGAAATACAGAAAAAGGCTCAATTTTAGTTTTCGAGGAAAATGCAACTTAATAGAAAGTATGTTTGATGAGCAATGTATTATTTGTCGTAATGCTGTGGGACGGTACAAACTCCATATATGACTTTAATAAAATTTACATGAATCTTAGCCAAAGATTGTGAGAATAAAGGACGCGTGGTCTAATAGTAAAGTGGACATCGACGTTATTTCTGTATATCAAAGTATTATAGTTAATATTATTTATACAAGCCATTGTTTTATGTTTGTGTAAATGTCCCAGTTTCCAAGGTCCCAGTTGACCGAACACTAATAACAGAAACGTTTTAAAAAAAAGAAAATTGTTTGAAGAAAAATTGATTAAATATTTAATTTGACCCAAATTGATCCAATATTTAATTTGGCCCAAATGGCTTTAGTCAGCAAACTGCTGACCACTGATTTTAGCTTTTACAAGTCGTTTAGTCATAAAAACTGCGCCAAAACTACCAAAGTTTATTATTGACAAAGTTGGACATTCGGTTCCTTAATGTTTATAATATTCGAAGTATCAAACACCAGAAGGCTTCCATATCCGTTTAAGTTTTTTGTTGTTCTAAATTCTAATATAAAACCAAATCAAATAATACTCGTGGGGATTAAATTAAAGCTTCTGCTTAACTCTTATGACTTAGATCGCATTAATCTGATTCTATGCCATTTTTGGTTCGTTTCTATAACGCAGGTTTTCATACAGATAATAGCAATGATCATCCTAAATTTATTGATATATTTTAAACTGAGTAACTAGATGGGCATTTTGTTTAAAACAACTGCTGATTTCACATAGCTTTGCTTTAAAGGTTTAATAGCATTGGGTCCAATATAGAACCATGCAGCACACCTTCTGGTTAGTTTGGGAATAAAATATAATAATTTAGAATATAACAGCCAATTAGACTTTTTTTTAAATGAAAGACGCATCCATATGTTTTTATTTGAAGAGTTTGACTTGCCAACATTTTTTTTCCATTAAACTTTGAGTTTGTTTTCTGAACATCTCATCACTATATACCACGTGGTTTTTTTTTATTTGCGCAGCAAAAATTCACTGTCATTGTTTTACCCCGACACCCTAGTTCTATTGTTTAACATATTTTTAAATAATCAGACGACTTTAAAACGTTATGAAAAAAACTCGAGGTTAAAAAACTGGTGAGATACATTCACAAAGTAATACCCAAGATAAAAACATTTCTAACCTCCTGGTTAGTCCAACAATTTCTTATTGCTACACTAAATCAAAAGCAATTTATGAACTTATTGTAAAAATGCGTTGCTATTCTCTTCATCAAATAACATCGGCGTTGTTGTGTTCTTTTCTTTGCTGAGTGAATCCATCTTTGAGCTACACGTTTCGCCTTAACCGCCAAAAATAACAAGTCTTAGCAAGTTAAACTGGGACTAATGCAGGATTAAAGCATGTCTGATAATCCATCAACCATCTTAAAACAAATGGCTAACTCATGGTTTTTATCTCTCATCATCGCCCCGCCATCTCATCAGTGCTATGTTTTTCGTTTGAAAAAATTAGCTATCATTTTGATTAAAATGACCTTGCCACATTGATTTGGGTCAAAAATAAAATTGTCGAATTACTTGGAATGATATGGTCATGTTAAACCCAATTTTATTTACTTGCGTTTCAGCGCTCGCGATATCTCAGTGTAAGGTCCAGTCTGAATAATCCCTATAGAATTGCGGCTGGGAACATAAATGCTACCCCCCCCCCCACCCAAACACACACACACACCCGCTCCCGCGTTGTCGTGGAAGCGGACCTTAATAAACTTATTTATCCTATGTGCACGGAATAAAGTCTAGAGTGACCATTGACAAGTGGGGGCCGGGCTTAATAACCCCCAAAAGTTTTTAGAGGTTAAGTAATGAATAAAAGAACACGAATAATGGTTCTTCAAATCCATATGTACAATTTTATTGGCAAATTTTTTCTTCTTATTTTTGTGAGTATAAATTTGGCACCCCGTCCCTGAAATCTCTTTATATATTTACCATGTTAACTTTGATCGATGAATATTTTGGCTCGTTTTCAAACCTTTCCGTCGCCTTCAAAGTATTTCGTGTATTTTTAAGGTTTATGACAAAAGTGAAAACGGAATGATTTTCTTGGTCTTGGTGTCTTTTCAGTTTTTCTTTTGTGTGTGAGATTCTCTGTTACAAGCGTATTTATTACTTGACATCAAAACGGAAATTGGTGATTTTCTTTCCGTGTTTGGAAAAGGTGACTTTGTAACTGCTCTACTTTCGAATTGAATAAAGAATCATACTCGTGGTTTAGTCCCGATTTCGAATTCCATCGTATAGCCCGAAAGAGGTTTGAGACTATAAATCTAGCCCTGTTCACATTTATCATGGGTAACGCCCACTTGACAGACAAGGGAGGTTGTCTTTATATAGTCTTTCAGAAGGAATTTTGATGTATATGGTAAATTAATTAAAAACAAAATGGAGCTTATTGATTTCGTGAACGTGATCAACAGAAAGGGTCTAGACATTTGTTTAGCGCTGCCCCCTTTAATTACACAAGGAAGTAGTAAACTAGCGACTTAAAGCTGTAGATACAATGTACACGTGACAATAATTACTGAATCGATGTATTAATGGAACCTTGCAAACATAGTCAGTGAAAACCTATAGGAATTGTTTGATATTTTTGTTTTATTAAGCTTAGCTCGTAAATGAACTCACAGGTTTGTAAATCGGAACCATTTCTTTGACCATTTGGTGGCAAGAGTCAGTCACTCCTCTGCAACAGTCATAGTTTCATGTTTTAATCGCTTCTAGTATGCAAATCGTTGTTTGTGCGAAATCTTCTCAGTGAATTTAAATTATTAACATTTCTTTGATTGATTATTCTCTCAATTGAAAACACAAAAATGTAAAATATTCAAATTAAAGAAAACTTTCATTTATTTACCCTCAAACCGCAAATGATTAAATTAACAATTGAACCAATGTCTGCAATTACAACCCATTTCCAATTAGTTTCAAGCAAACATCGTTTTTGTTTCCAACGAATGAAATCTGTTTTCTTTCAATAGTAAATAGTTTTGATGAATAATTTTCATTGTTTTATGTTTTAAAGAATTCACTGAACAAAGTCGATGGCTATTTGAATAAATATTACCTTAGAAAACGCCTGTAGTTGACTCGAAAAGCGGCTAACATTTACAAATGACGAACAATCAAATTTGTCAAGTCTATTACAAAGATGGCCATTTATATTTGATGACACCGAGGTGAATAAATATCACGATATTTACACAAATGTTGTAAAAAGCAAAAGACACCACCCTCCTTTTTAACGCCAAAATAGCACCAAGCTCGTTATTATGATAATCTATATCATTTTGCTCTTGACAACTTACGTGCCACAGAACAAGTACCATCAAGTTCTAATGAATAGTTAGACAATGTGTACAGAAAAGCGTTATACTGTTCGTTATATTACAGAACTAGATTTTAAAGTCGCCTACCGCGATCGTACATTTTAGCACAATATCTAATTTTCCACGGTTTAACCCACCCTTGTAGCAATACCGTCACTGCGACCATATTATATGGTTCCACATATTATATAGAAGTCATGAGTGATATAGGTTTTTATATAAAAACAGTTATAATTTCATAAACATTTAATTCTGGCTTAATAACAAAATACCACGACTGACATTCTTGGTGGAAAGTTTCTACTGTCCATATAAGGGTGGTTCTTGACGTCATTAGGCTTAGTAACCAATCATCATAATTAATTTGTCCAATTAAATAATAAATTATATCGAATTTAAAGGAGTCTTGCTGCTTACACTACCCTAGAACCACTAACAGGACGTTCCGGTTGTTTCACAAACATCGACAAGCAAATTCTCATTTCTGAAATTATGGAAAATATCACACTATTCGTAGGAAGAAAAGTCAATAAAGAAAACCCATATCGTTGGTATGCACAAACAATATTTCACAACAAAAAGCTTTGACATTTTATATCGCTTTGACAGCTTTTGATAAAACGTTTCCAAATAACTTGTGCATCGTTTGTGATTTTTTTTCTTGTACATGTTTTTCATGTTTATTTGCTTTTCTTGTATTGCGTTATTTCTTTCGCTGGGTTTTGATTCCAAGAAAACTTAAAATTTGAATATATGTTTTTATTTAGTCATTAAGCAGTTAAGCCCCCACCCCACCCACCCCCAAATACATTCTATACATCACGTCTTTAATAGACAGATTGGTGCAGAAAAGTAGGACGTTAAACCCCATCCTTTTTCAATACGCAATGTCCAGCATCAGCTGAGTCAATGAAGACGACGTTAATTCCTTCAAATACAGACTGCTCAACATTGGTCACACAAACGCTAAAATAAATCAACTTGTACGTTGTTCAGAAAGGACTGAAATATTACGTTCACCGCGCAAACCAATTTTATTTATTTAAATTATCGGGGGCTTTATTTTGTCTTTAAATTTTAAATGCTAAATCTCAGCGTATTGGTAAACATTAGA